AAAAAAAATTTGACCCAAAAAATTTTGGGAAAAAAATTTTTGGGCAACTCGAGTGCGACGAAACCGATGTTGGGTCGATGTTTCGTAGTCGAACTCGCAGTATTTCGAAGCGTGCGCCATTATATTCAATTTCATACAAAATCTCGTCAAAATCGTTTCGATGTATTAGGAGAACAGTCACACTTTTACATTTGACAGCGCCATTTTAATTCAAAATTGTGACTGTTTCCCTGGTAGAAAAAATGATTGTAGTACGAAAAGTTATGGAAAAAAATTTTTGGTCAAAAAAATTTTGGTCAAAAAAATTTTGACCCAAAAAATTTTGGTCAAAAAAATGTTGGCCCAAAAAAATTTGGTCAAAAAAATTTTGGGAAAAAAACATTTTTGGTCAAAAAAATTTGACTTAAAAAATTTTGGTCAAAAAAATTTTGGCCCAAAAAATTTTGGGAAAAAAACATTTTTGGTCAAAAAAATTTTGACTTAAAAAATTTTGGTCAAAAAAATTTTGGATCAAAAAAATTTGGTCAAAAAAATTTTGACCCAAAAAATTTTGACCCAAAAAATTTTGGCCTAAAAAATTTTGGCCCAAAAAATTTTAGCCAAAAAACTTTGGAAAAAAAAAATTTTTTGACCAAAAATTTTTGGTCCAATATTTTTTGGGTCAAAATTTTTTTGATTAAAAAATTTTTTTTCCAAAATTTTTTGGGCCAAAATTTTTTAGGTCAAAATTGTTTTTGACCAAAAATTTTTTTTTGGGCAAAAAAAATTTTGGTCAAACAAATTTTGGATCAAAAAAATTTGGTCAAAAAAATTTTGACCCAAAAAATTTTGACCCAAAAAATTTTGGCCTAAAAAATTTTGGCCCAAAAAATTTTAGCCAAAAAACTTTGGGAAAAAAAATTTTTTTTGACCAAAAATTTTTGGGCCAAAATTTTTTGGGTCAAAATTTTTTTGATTAAAAATTTTTTTTTCCAAAATTTTTTGGGCCAAAATTTTTTAGGTCAAAATTTTTTTTGACCAAAAATTTTTTTTTGGGCCAAAATTTTTTGGTCCAAAATTTTTTGGGTCTAAATTTTTTGGTCCAAAATTTTTTGGGTCAAAATTTTTTTGACCAAAAATTTTTTGGGCCAAAATTTTTTCCGTCAAAATTTTTTTGACCAAAATTTTTTTTTCCAAAATTGTTTTGGGCCAAATTTTTTGGGTCCAATTTTGGGAACAAAAATTTTGACAAAAAATTCTGGCCCAAAAAATTTTGGTAAAATAAAAATTTTGGTCAAAAAAATTTTGGTCAAAAAAATGTTGGCTCAAAAATATTTGGTCAAAAAAATTTTTGCCCAAAAATTTCTGGGAAAAAAACATTTTTGGTCAAAAAAATTTTGACTTCAAAAATTTTGGTCAAAAAAATTTTGTCCCAAAAAATTTTTGGTCAAAAAAATTTTGACCCAAAAAATTTTGGGAAAAAAAATTTTGACCCAAAAAAATTTGGCCCAAACAATTTTGGAAAAAAAATTTTGTTCAAATAAATTTTGACCCAAAAAATTTTGCCCAAAAAATTTTGGCTCAAAAAAATTTTTGGTCAAAAAAAATTTTGACCTAAAAAATTTTGGTCAAAAAAAATTTGTCCCAAAAAATTTTTGGTCAAAAAAATTTTGACCCAAAAAATATTGACCCAAAAAATTTTGACCCAAAAAATTTTGGACCAAAAAATTTTGACAAAAAAATTTTGACCCAAAAAATTTGGTCCAAAAAATTTTGACCCAAAAAATTTTGGTCAAAAAAATTTTGGATCAAAAAAATTTGGTCAAAAAAATTTTGACCCAAAAAATTTTGACCCAAAAAATTTTGGCCTAAAAAATTTTGGCCCAAAAAATTTTAGCCAAAAAACTTTGGAAAAAAAAATTTTTTTTGACCAAAAATTTTTGGTCCAATATTTTTTGGGTCAAAATTTTTTTTGACCAAAATTTTTTTTTTGGGCCAAAATTGTTTGGGCCAAATTTTTTTGGGTCCAATTTTGGGAACAAAAATTTTGACACAAAAAATTCTGGCCCAAAAAATTTTGCTAAAAAAATAATTTTGGTCAAAAAAATGTTGGCTCAAAAAAATTTGATCAAAAAAATTTTGGTCAAAAAAATTTTGGCCCAAAAAAATTTGGTCAAAAAAATTTTGACCCAAAAAAATTTGGCCCAAACAATTTTGGAAAAAAAAATTTTGGTCAAAAAAATTTTGACCCAAAAAATTTTGACCCAAAAAATTTTGCCCAAAAAATTTTGCCCAAAAAATTTTGACTTAAAAAATTTTGGTCAAAAAAATTTTGTCCCAAAAAATTTTTGGTCAAAAAAATTTTGACCCAAAAAATTTTGACCCAAAAAATTTTGACCCAAAAAATTTTGGACCAAAAAAATTTGGCCCAAAAAAATTTTTGGTCAAAAAAATTTAGACCTAAAAAATTTTGAGAACAAGAATTTTGGCCCAAAAAATTTTGGGAAAAAAAAATTTTTGGTCAAAAAAATTTTGACCCAAAAAATAATGACCCAAAAAAATTTGACCCAAAAAAATTTTACCCAAAAAATTTTGGCCCAAAAAAAAATTTTTGGTCAAAAAAAATTTTGACCCAAAAAAATTTTGGCCCAAAAAATTTTTGGTCAAAAAAATTTCGGCCCGATGTTTGGGCCCAAAAAATTTTGACCCAAAAAATTTTGGACCAAAAAATTTTGGCCCAAAAAAATTGGCCCAAAAATTTTGGGAACAAAAATTTTGACCCAAAAAATTTTTGATCAAAAAAATTTTGACCCAAAAAAATTGGCCCAAAAAATTTTGGGAACAAAAATTTTGGCCCAACATATTTTGGTCAAAAAAAATTTTGGTTAAAACAATTTTGACCTAAAAAATTTCGTCTGTTTGAACTTTTTAAGTTAATAAAGTATAATGAGCATAATCAAATAATTGGCTGTTAAGTATTTATAACAAAGTACTTGTGAGAAGTATAACATTTCATTAAATAGAAAAATGAAATAGATCAACTATGTGACAAAGCCTTGAATTATGACCCCATTAAACACAATAAATAAATAAATAAATAAATAAAATGTATTTTTTACCTGGAAACTTCATTAATTTGCTTATTCTTTCCAACAGTTACATTGACAAATATTGAAGTATTATTTTATTATACCTTAATACCCAACTGTTAAGAATTTTTGCCTTGCAGACTTTTCGGTTATCTTTGTACTTCTACGATAGTCTTCGTCTAGTACAGAGTGTTTTTATCTATATCCTAGTGGTGAAATACTAATAAAATAGGGCATATATAGGCTTATATAGGGATAAAAATATGTCTTACATCGAAATGTTTATTTGTATTTAATAAATATCAAAAATTCACAATTTTCTCCAAAATTGTTTAACGAAATTAATTTTGGAACTTTCAACTTAATCATTTCAAATATTTCAAACTTCAAATATTCTATAATGAATCTTTTATGGCATACGGGGTATCATATAAAAGGTAATTTTAAGTAGAATACAACCATCTATGTGAAATATTCATATTTTTCAAAATAAATGCAGTTAATAAAGTATTAGTAACATTTTTGTTACTGATTTTGAGATATCATTTGAATGATGTTTAAATATTTATCAATAGTTTAAATTAAATTAATTTAAATAAAAAAATAATTCAAATCTATATAAAAAAATAAATTTACACATTTGACAAACTGTCTGTAACACCAAAAACGAATTATATTGTGTTAAATATGTTAAATACTTATTAGGTCATTATGAATAAAACTAATATTTACGAAACATATATTTCTACAATATATTTTCTGAAATATCAATTTATACAACCATATAAATATAAATGGAGGACTTCAAATATTTAATTATAACTTTAACATGTAATAACTTTCATAATACTTTTAAAAACAATACTTATATGTAATATATACTCTATAGAATTAATATCAATTAACATAATTAAAAAAAACTTAACGCGTTGCCTTATTCACTTTTTATCATAAACATCATGCTCAACTTATTTATTACCATCATCATTTATTACCATGACTAGAAATATATGTACCTACTTTATTCCAAAGACTTCAAAACAAGATCAAACTTATCTCCATTACCCCTAACTTTGCGAAAACTTTCAACAAAACATTTTTTCAAATCTGCGTCAACCAATTCCTCGAAGAAATTCCTGGTTGCCAAACAGAGCATAACCTTATCTTCAAAATCAAACTTACCAAACCTGGACACGACATAAGGAAACATCAATTTCAGGCTGCTGTTCAAAGAAGCAGCCACAAAAACACATACCAGACAGGAAAGAGATTTGTTGGCTGGTAATTTGTTAGCCAGGTTTGCCAGAGAGCACACCAGCCAGGATTGTAGCAACGAGTGCTGGTCGCGAGATATCAGGTTTTCGAAAACCTAAATGATAAAAAGTAACGAATATATTGTGGGGAAATCAAGCAGGCTAGTCATGATTGTAAAAAAACAAAACTGGACTTGTCATTGTATATTTTGATATCAGTAATATTTTATAATGAATAAATTTTATATATTTTTATATGTTAGGAGTTTATAATTTAATATATTTTCATAATAATTACAAATCCCACATAGGTGACCCCGACGTGATAATATGTGTGGGGAAATCAAGCAGGCTAGTCATGATTGTAAAAAAACAAAACTGGACTTGTCATTGTATATTTTGATATAAGTAATATTTTATAATGAATAAATTTTATATATTTTTATATGTTGGAAGTTTATAATTTAATATATTTTCATAATAATTACAACTCCCACAATATGATAAAAGCAACTTAGGGATGACTTTGGTCGACTTACCTCTAGAAGCACCAACGCCAAATTGTCTCCGTGTTGTTGTTGCGTGATGGAAAAGAATTCGCCAATTACTTTGGCTAACATCTCGCTAGGTTGGAATAAGTCGTTCAGGAGTTTGCTCAGCACCTGGCACAAAACCCTGGCTTCGTATCTATTGGAAACCTTGAGACGTTCAAAAAGTGTTGATATCTTCTCAACATGATCAACTATCAGGTCCAGGTCTGAAGGTTGACCGGAGTCATCTAGTTTGGATGCATTGTCCAAAAGACTTAATTGTGTTGAGGCTTCTGGAAAATAGTAAATTAAAATTGTTACTTCTCAAAAAAAAAAAACTTTAGCTGATCTTTTACCCTACCTTTATACATGCAGGCGACTAGCAACTTCAGAGTGTACCTGACATATGTAAAATTTGAGTTCTTGATTTTCTTGAGACAAGCTTGTGATATCTGACTGAGAGTTTGTTTTGGAAGCTTATCCAATATCACTAGTCGTTCTAGGCCCTGGAGAAATATTATTTATAGTATACCTTTCAAATTTCCAAGAAAATCTTGATAAATGTTCAGTAAAAAACGTTTAGTGATTGGAAGTAGGATGAAAAATGATTGGATTACTAAAATGATACTTAATAAAGACTTGTGGTAGGAGGTTAAACGTTTAGAAATCTAAAATAAAAGAAATAGGTTCAAAGAACTTAAAAAACAATTTTAGGAGTATGAATGAAAAACAGATATTCGCTGGTATAAATATAAAGTTTCATAAAAATCGGTAAGTCGTGTCGAAAGAGTATATATATATATACATATATATATATATATATATATATATATATATATAAACATAGCTGGGCATTAACTCGTTAATCCGTTAATCGTTAATTAACGAAGTTAACATTTTGATTAACGGATTAACTTTTAAGTTAACTTTTAAAAATGTTAACGGACACGTTAACTTCCGTTAAAATGCGAGAAGTCCGTTAATCGTTAATCCAATGCCTACTATTTACCGCACGGCACAGCTTTAGCCATAGGCTTTAGCCAATGCCTTATTAAACGGCATAGAGAAAAGATTTGGACTACTCCTGAATGATGAACAGTGCCAACTTGCCGCGGCATTTCACCCAAAGTTTCGGTTAATGTGGCTGGAAACGTATGACAGCAGTAGAGAGGAATGCAGTAAGAAAATGCACGGAAAAAAGGTAGAAGATGCCTTATGGCAAGAAGCAGCGAAAAATTCGAAGGACAGAGATAGTTTAAGTGGCGGAGGGAGCAATGCGAGTAACAACGATGATGACGAGAAGGAAGACTTTTTCAATTCTGCCACTCAGTCTATAGAAAAACCAAAGAGCTACATTCTCTTTAAAGAATAATGCGCAAATTCTCGTTAAAATGTGGCTGGATATGAAATCAAAAGACTCGTTCAACGATGCTGCATTCGTCGGGGATAACAGATATTCATAAATCTATTTATTAAATACAATACTGCTATACCCTCAAGCGCTGCAGTTGAACGTTTGTTTTCCACGGGTAAAGACATTTTGACACCAAAACGAGCCTCGCTTTCAGACGAGAACTTCAACATGTTAATGTTCATGAAGGGGAATATGCACCTTATGCCCGACGCTTAACCCGTCGCGCGTTTCCTATTTTTAGCAAAAACTAGCTGTAAATGGAATTTTGTCTTAAGGCAATTAAGGCATCGTTCCTTAAGGCAAATTGCTGGTACTTTCCGTACCTACAATTATTATTTTTTTAAAAACGATTAACATTTTTGAAAAAAATTTACTTCGAAAAAATAAGATTTTTGAGAAACTATAAACTATTGGACAAAAAATTATTTTTTTTTGAAAAAAAAAATGTTTTTTTCATTTTGACATATTTTGGAAGATCTGAACTTGTTTTCAAAGCAATTTTACTGCTTTAGGACTGCATAGAGACAAAATATAAAGCGCGTAAGCGCCGCGTCGCTGTCTAAAGGATAAACATTGGTACGGAACCCATAGGAATGTAAATAAAATTTATACTTATTGTTAAAATCTCTATAAAATATCTGATAATTTGATGTGCATATGTCTAATGATCATTTTGACCGCCAAATGGCATTTTTTTTTACTTTTTTCATTAGATCTCCGAAACCGCTAGACCTGCCTTCATGAAAAATTGATCAGTTCTTCATAATTGTCAATACAAGTAAAATGTTTTTTGAATTATTAAAATCGGACGCTTCGTTCTCTTAAAAACTGAGTTACCGTTTTTGGCTCAATTTTGCCCCATATCTTCGGAACGGCTAGACCTGCCTTTGCCAAAAACTAATCAGCACGTCTTCTTATCAATACGAATCGAATGTTTTTTGAATTATTAAAATCGGTTGATCCGTGTTCCCGAAATCGTCGACGAAAATTTGTATCCGAATACACATACATACACACACACATACATCCATTTTTTCTAAGGTATGCCAAAATATTCAGAAACCTTTGAAACGTCGAGAAATGCAAAAAATTTTATTTTCGATTTTTTTGCGATTACTATAACTTGCCCTACGGGAAGTTAAAAAAACTCTTTCCCTTTATTTAGAAAAAAATTCTTGTAAAAACAATATGCAATCATAAAAACGGAAAGTTGACCAATAGCGTTATCACGGTATGTGATAATTGTGCCATTTTCCTTATACACACGGAAGTGTGCATAAAACGCGCGAGGGGTTAAATTACACATTTGAATTATACAAGTATTTTGTTTTATTCATAACCTGTTAACTTCCAGAACCTAAACTAATAAGTTTTTTAAGTTCACTAACGCAACGATATAAAAATGTAATTTTACACATATTAACGGATTAACGATTAACGTTAACTTGCGTTAATTCTTCCGAAATGTAACGCTTTAACGTTTAACGAAGTTAACTTTTTTTGTAGCGGATTAACGATTAACGAAGTTAACTATTTGATTAACGGTGCCCAGCTATGTATATAAATATATATATATATGTCTATATATATATATATATATATATATATATAATTTTTTATTCTACTTACATTACAAACACAAGTAAACAAATTCATGTCAGCATTATCCTGCTCGAGCACAAAAATGATCGAATTCAATATCGAATTATTCTCCTCTTGACTTGTAATATAATTTTTAGTAACAGCACCATCACCAGAATTTGAATCCGAAAACTTTTCCAAAACCAGGAAACTCATTGTGTAAACTGACATTAAATGGTTTAAGGAATGGTGATATCCCCTAAAAAAGAATCGTATCAAGAAATAATAAATGAATTTTATTATTGAAATAGAGCCGGGTGATAGGTTCGAATCCCGGTGGAGGTATAAACAAAAAATTAAAATAGATATTTTTATATATATTTCTTGGGTACTAGGTCAGGTACCAGTGATAAAACTTCATTTCCTCCTACTTACCCTTGTTCGATTTCTGCAAAAACAGTCTCCGCATACTCCCTTGCCTTGTCTCTGATCTCTATCATATCATGTTTCAACTTACTCCTAGTTTCATTAAATTTCAAACTGGAACGTCTTCTGGAATCATGATGGATAAACGTCCTGGACCAGTCATCCAATTTCCATTTATCATCATCGAGAAAAGCAGTATCAACTTTACGATCATGTTCTATTTCTTCAATTTCTTTGCCAACAAAATCTTTGGTCACATTTTTGACATCATCGTTATCTTGGGTGGTTGTTAAATTTAGGGATAAGTCACCAAAGCTTAATTTTTTTGAATCTGATAATTTGACTTTTTGGTCTTTTTTTTGCAAAATTTTTGATTGACTTGATGTCAAAATTTCGTTTATGTAATTCGCATCATAGACTTCGATTAAGCACATTAGAGCTGGTATTGAACTCGTTTTACGTGGTATGCTTGAACTTCTTAAGGAGGAACGAAGCATGTTTACGATGTCTAGTAAAGCATCACAGCCCTGAAATGAAAATAATTAGGTGTAATACACTTTTAATACATTTGTAGCAGAGGAGTCTAAAGAAGTTTCGATTGAAGGATCTTTTTTAGTAGAATCCAAATACTAAAATATGTTTTCAAATTTGGGAAGTTTAAGAGGATATATTTATACATTTGTATTATCCACTTACCAAATCTTCTGAAATAAACACAGAACAGCATTTACAAGCCAAAGAAACCAAATGTCTCATCGCTATCTCATCATGATTGACCATTGAATCGCTGGAACATCTCTTCCACATATCGAGACACAAATTTAGGCACCACTCAAAGTGGCTCTTCTTTGTGAATAAATCACTCACGGACACCAATGATTCCAGGATTGAATGAACGACTATTGAATTGGTTGGAGCCTGAAAAATAATTGTAATAGATAAATTATGTACATTACAAACTAGGTGTAAATAGTAGTCTGCCTTAAATGATTGATTTAATGTGGGAGTGAGTAGCATCTCAAACAAACCAGAATTATATTGGTAACTAATTAAGTGGTTAACAATATTATTTACCGCACCTGTAAATTCAACATGTGAGAATACATCTCGACTAAAAACTGCAAACAGCTTTCCAAATCAATTCCACTCTCCTGCAAGCACTTCATCCTGTACTCGTGGACTTTTTCAAACTCATTCAACATCTTATTTTTCTCATTTTCCTCTTTGTTTAAAATACTTTTCAGATATCTTGAACTTATTTGTGCATTTGGATAATATAAACTTTGTTTACTGCAAATTTCTGTGCAAGTTCTGTCCAAGTTGGAAGATTCTTGGAATGGGTCTTCGAGAAATGATTGGATTAAATGGTGGATGGGCTTCAGCTTGCGAGAACTAAAGTAATAAAAAACCGTAAATGATTATATATATATTTTTTGGAAATAAAATAATAAAACTAGCTGTAAGTGGAATTCTGTCTTGAGGCAATTATGGCATCGTGCCTTAAGGCAAATTGCTGGAACTTCCCGTACCGTAACGAGATGATCGAGGAATATTAAATGTTTTAAAATAGATTATTACAAATAATTTAACATTGTCTAATATTTATAAGAATTATATCTAACTGAATTGCAAAGTTAAAATCACTTGTTTAAAGTATATTAGAACTTTAGTCAGAAATAAAAATAAAATCTGAATTATTTTCGATATACAAAAAATTAAAAAAAAAAAAAAAATTGAGACAATTTTTTTTTCAAAATCAATTATTTTGTTAAGACAAGCAGAAAGTTCTTTGAATCATTCAAATCGGACGCTTAGTTCTCTCAAAAACTGCCTTTTTTAACATTTAGCTCTGTATCTTTGAAATGGCTGGGCCTGCCTTTGCCAAAAACTGATAAACACTTCTCCCAATCATTACTAATTGAATGTTTTTTAGATCATTCAAATCGGAGACTCCGTTCTCTCAAAAATTCGATTTCTATTTTCTGCACTCTTTGCTCCGTATCTCCGAAACGGCTGGACCTGCCTTTACCAAAAACTAATCAGCTCTTTTCCCTATCAATAGGAATCGAATGTTTTTTGAACCATTCAAATTGGCTGATCCGTGCGCCCTAAAACGTGACTGGAAATTTGTATCCATACATACATACACACACACACATCCATTTTTTCTGAGGTATGCCAAAACGTTCAGAAACCTTCAAAACGTCAAGAAATGTAAAAATTTTCAATTCCGATTTTCGGCCCATTACAATAACTTACCCTACGGGAAGTTAATAAACTAAAATTTCAGCCCTTAACTATATATAGTCCTACGATATTATCATCGATATTAAGATATCGATATTTTGAGTTAACACATATAGACCATTTTTTAAAGACAATGCAGTGCAGCAAGCATAAATATATCAAAATAAAATAAGTTTGATTTCACGCAAAAGCACCAATTATTTTGAACTACCCGAAGTTATCTGCATAGTGTTAACATATAACATAATACATGCAATGGAAAATAACTAGTACACTTATACTAATTTGAACTTGTATATTCAATAATACTTACACTATATTATCTTCATTTATCTTGTCGTTTCTCGATATGTGTAAATAACTGGATACAACAGTATTACCAGGCTTTGGCAGCAGCAAACTGCTCAACAGCAAACTAACGAATAAATAGAAATATATTTATTTATTTATTCCTAATCAACTAATAATAAATATTATTTCAACCTCTTGTCAAGAATTTTGTCGAGAATGTCGAAATTCAAAGAAGGCAAAAAACTCATTTTAAAGACTTGTGATTAATTTTTTAATATCTTCTAACTAATTAATTTTAAAATAAAAATTGAGATTCAATAATTAGGATTATTATTCATTAGGTAAGTATTTTTTCTGTTTTTCTGTGGGTTTTGCTATTCACACACATAGTTCCAAAACGTACAAGAGAAATAGCTTTTATCAATTTATAATCATTCTTTTAAATTTTTTACTTGGTTATTGCCCGAATCGCAGTGGTCTGCACCGAAACAACTTCATCCGATGGCGCGTCCACAGTTTGAGAACCACTGATCACTCCCAATAAGCTCATCCAAGTCTCCTCGAACTGTGTCCGCGAAGTCCAGCCCAACAGAGCACACCTGCAATGAAGAAAAAAGATAATTTTAATAATGTAAAAATTTTCGCGTTTAAAAATTTCGAAAGTTATTTCAATATTCAAATTCTATTGAAAAATACCTTTCAAACAATACCTCATATGCCACAAAAGATTCAACCTAAAATTTTTGAAGTAAAAAATTCATAAAAAGTGTATTTTTTATAGACAAATCACAAAGTTAATTTAAGCATTCGTTACAAAAGTTTTAAACCTAATATATTTAGAAAAAAAAATCAATATAATATAACAATTTAATGACTTTTGCAATAACATATAACGTTTGATCACAATATAATGTTTTGTAAATATCGTATTCTACTCGTTGATAAGTGACATTTTTTTACTATCGTTTTACTAGAAATTCAGTAAAAATGTATTTCGTGTTGACAAACCATATAATTAATTTCAATATTCGGATTCTGTACAAAAAACCTTTCAAATAATATTCAACATACAAAAAAAACCATAAGCATTTTTTGAAGAAAAAAAAAATTTAAGCTCTTTAACTACAAAATCGTTAAAAGTGTATCTTACATCGATTAGAAATTACATCTTACCTAAACACAAATTTTATTGTAGTGAAACTTTTTTACTATCGTTTTACTAGAAATTCAGTAAAAATGTATTTCGTGTTGACAAACCATATAATTAATTTCAATATTCGGATTCTGTACAAAAAACCTTTCAAATAATATCCAACATACAAAAAAAACCATAAACATTTTTTGAAGAAAAACAAATTTTTAAGCTCATTAACTACAAAATCGTTAAAAGAGTATATTACATCGATTAGAAATTACATCTTACCTAAACACAAATGATTCCAGAACATCCGAATCTTGCAAAAACTCCTGCAAAAACGCAAAATAGTTCTTTTCGTCCAAACTCGAATCGATTCTTTCAAAAACCAAAAACGGCGTCATCGCAAACTTGATAACAACATCGAATCGACACACCATAATTACACATTGCAAAAACACACTTTTCTTCGCTAAATCTGGAGTCAACAAAACACTGAACTTATTTAGATCCTTACACAAAACTGTATTGAAATCTTCCACAAATTGGATAATGGACACAACTTGGTTGTTGTAAGTTTTGTCCAAATTTGGGACTTTTTCGATTAAACGATAATTTGTAGCATCGAGGGATAATTGCTGCAAGATTTGATACAAAGATGCAATGTAGTTGTGTATTTGTGTTTGTAAGTTGTGGGTGTTGTTTAAATGCGACCACACTTGCTCGGTTTTGATTATTGCACAAAAGCACGTGAGTGCATCTTCAAATGCACTACTGTTGAGAAAATTTGGGATTTGTTTTAGGTTATGCACACAATATTGTAAGCACAAAGCGTTAAATTTGATACAAGGGTCCACAAAGTCAGCGAATAAATTCTGATCAATTGATAGCAAATTAATAACACTTTTTGTAATTTTTTGAAACAACACACACTGATTTTGATATTGAAAGTTAAAATCTTCAACTAACACCAAAATTTTACTCATTAAACAATCCACAACAACTTTTACATTATCATCATCACTTTCACTAGTCAAGCAATAAGCAAAAAAGCCAACATCAACATTTTCATCCGATAAAATTTCCTGCAGTTTTTGAGCGCCCAATTTTTGCATGATTTTGCTTAAAGCCTTGCACTCAGCTCGAGTTTTATCTTTAGAGCAACATTTTGTTTTTACTTGTTGATAAAACCATTCCGCGTCAATTTTGTTTTCCGTAAATTGGTGAAGTCTATGGTTTTCATGTGGTCCAATTCGATAGGTGGCAAGGAATAGAATTGCACAGCTAGCTTGTTTAGGATGCTTACTAGCGTTTCGTGTCTGAAAAATAAAAAAATGATAAAAGACAATTTGGACAGCAACAATTTATTTACTCTCAGTAACTTTTCCTTTACCTTTTAATTACTCGTTCTCCTTTACTTCTAAAATACTCCATAATCTGCCTAAACTTCACCTCAGACAATTTCTGCTTAACAACAACTTCATCGTCACTATCATCGGTCTCCAAGGTTCTCAACAACTCTGCCTTGCTCGAACAAAGTCTCGAAGCATCACGACAAATTAGTATGTTCTTGTGCTCAAGAAGTTTTACTTCAACAATACAAGAGTGGAGAATCGATCCTGATAAGTCTACGTGCAACCGGTCGAGAAACTTTGTTAGAACTTTGTGGACGAAAATCATCTAAAAGATGAATAATCGACGTGATCAATAACAAAATAATACATGACTGATTCAAAAGTGCTGTAAGGTTTCAAAGTTTCAAGAGATATTATAAGTAAATGCACAATGCAAGATAAGTCACTGTTTGTTGCATAATATTTGATATTATTTATCAAATTCAAAAAATGATTAAATAATCAATATTTGATATTATACAACTAAGCTAACCGTTGAACCGTGCGGACGTGTTTTTTGAAGAGTCGTAATGTCTCTGACATAATTAACTATTCCGGAATAGGATTCCAAAAAATCCTACAATTGCTGTGAAACAAAACCATCTGCAAGTGTGGGTGTTTGTAAGAACTGTGGCAAAATTTACTTATTACATGTGAGTTGTGCCAAAAGAAAAGGTTTCAAATTCATTGTTGGAAAGTTGATACAGTACTGTGAGTTGAGCAGTGAAGTGTCGTGTGACAAACATATGGATACTATAAACCACTTATCGCAAACAATTATCGACAAAAATACGATAATAGACGACAAGATGACAATAATAAAGGACAAGGAATACACAATTCAGCAGCTTGAAGAAAAAATTAAGATGCTGCAATTATTAAAGCCAAATGAAAAGAAAAAAGAGGCATCGTCAGCTGCACCCAATATTGATAGTAATATTGAGAAAGCAGCATCCAAGAAGGCTAAACATAAATCTACCAATAAAAACAGTGGCAATGCTAATAAGGTCTCAAAGGAACAGGTGAGTGTTGCAGTAGCAACTGCTTTGAAGGAATTAGATAAGAACCGAAACATTCCGAGATGCGGTTGCCAACACGGAGCTGCCTACTAAATCGACCCAAGCTGAACAACAATCAATTAAAGCAAATGACGATGGAAATTGGACTTTGGTCCAGAAAAAGAAGACGCCGAAACGAAAAAACAAAGCCATAGAAGGTACAAATGTGAGCACTACACTCGCGGGAGTTGTGAGGAAGGCCCACTTGCATGTGTTTCGCCTGGCACCGGAACATCGTCGGAAACTCTAAAAAATTACTTAAATGAAATAAATTTCAAAAATGTTGAATGTGAGAAAATGGCTTCAAAACATCCGAAACATATGCCTCTTTCAAGGTCTCCGTTGCAGAGAGTGAATTGGAAAGAATAAAATCTCCGGATGTTTGGCCAAAAGGAGTCTATGTGGACCGTTTTTTATTCCATCTGGGGAAAAAAAACAAAGAAAAATTGTCAAACTGGATCAACATAATGTCCCTGAATATTCAATGTTTATCCAATAAAACCGAGGCATTAACAAAGGTCCATGACAATAAAATAATCATTCTTTGTCTATGTGAACATTGGCTTGGCAACGACCAAATCGACCTGTATAGCATACGTGATTTTCGGCTAGTCAGCTCATTCTGTCGTAGTAAACATACGCACGGAGGTGTTGCTATTTACTGTCGAAAAGAGATAGAATGTTTGGAATTAAATTACATAACATCACATTCCGATGAGCTGACGTGCGAAATGGCCGCATGCTACATAAAACAATTAAAAACTGTTGTAATATCGATGTACAGATCTCCCAATGCGACACTTGACACATTTTTGCAGAAAGTTGAGTTGACTTTACTGATTATATATTATAATTTTGACTTAAAAACAAACATCATCCTATGCGGCGACTTGCATTGATAGCGCATTTACAAACATCGATGAAATTAATTTTTCAGTAGATACCTTTTCAGCGGCAATCTCGGACCATGAAGCTCTACTTATTCGTTTGAGAGTTGACCCTAATGAAAGTACATTCCATACTGTAAGAAAGATCGGTGGTCCCTACATGGACAACTTTGTTAATCAAATTGGCCAAGTGGACTGGGAACTTTCGGTGATAGGTGAGGATCCTAACAATCAGTTCAATAACTTTTCAATATATTTTAAATATACATTTTAAATTCTGATAACAAAAATATCACAATTAGGAACATAATAAAAAGGAAAACTGGTAAGAATTATACAGGTAATGTAAGTCATGAGGCACCCAGTGTTGAAGTTTTCAATATTTTTTTCAAAAATGTAGCCATAAATGTAGTAAAAAATCTGCCCCAGCCAATAATTGCAGCCGATGTCTATTTGACAAAGGTATTTGTGAAGGGGCAAAGTATATTTTTAAATCCAACTACCCCAGAGGAAATTAATACAATGATTAAACGCTTAAAAAATAAAACGTCGTTTGATGCCTTCGGCATTAATACAAAAATGGTAAAATCTGTCGCACAGTACATTGCTGGACCGTTGTGCAAGATAGCAAATAACATTTTCTCCACAGGAATCTTCCAGACAAAAAGAAGCTGGCAAAAATAGTGCCATTATATAAATCAGGAAATCGTCAGTTAGCAGCAAACTACAGACCCATAGCCATACAGCCAATATTTTAGAAAATTATAGAAATGTTGTTAGCATTAAGAATTACAAGTTTCTTCGATGCTAATAATTATTTTGTAAAAAATCAATTTGGATTCAAAAAGAAAATTAACACAATTGATGCTGTGCAAGACTTTTTGAACTTTATATCAAATTCACTGGGAGATCACAAACACAGTGGTGCACTATTTTGCGATCTCAGCAAAGCATTTGATTCTGTTCCACATGACATATTTCTCAGGAAACTGGAATATTATGGATTTAAAGGAGTAGCCCTTAAACTTATGCAATCATACCTATATAACAGGTATCAGTTTGTGGAATGAAACAATAAACGAAGTGAGATAGCAAGATTAAATGCAAGGGTTGCCCAAGGGAGTATTCTTAGACCACTTCTTTTTATCATATTTGTGAATTATCTACCACCGTACATTAGCTGCCCCACAACGCAATTTGCAGATGACACTGCATTGGCGGTTGCGGACGAGAACATCGCAAATATGAACGAAAACTGGTTTTCAGCCAACAAAATTGTACTAAACAATAGAAAAACTGTCCTATTAACTTTACTTCCGGTAGGAGACGTAAGGAGCTGCATGGAAGGGAAGTTAAATATTTGGGTCTCACTATGGACAGCCTGCTAACCTGGGCGAAGCACATAGATTCAATATGTACTAAGCTCTCAAAATCAATATATGCCATCAGAAGAGTTTGACACATTACAAATGAGGAATGCGCTAGAGAGGCTTACTTTGCCATGTTTCACTCTGTGTTCTCATATGGAATATTGGCATGAGGACACTCGGTGCATACCTCCAAGATAATGGATTTATAGAAGAAGGCTGTAAGGGCAATCGGAGGGGCCTCACGTCGGGAGCACTGCAGACCCATGTTTACTAAATTTAGAATACTGACTGTTACCAGCCTTTACATCTACCAGCAGACGATTGCGGTCCATGCAGACGGAACAAACCATGTACTGAGGAGTGACAACACGCGGAACAGGAGTGCTGAAAGACAAGAAATTGTCCGAGAACAAAAATTTAAAGTTATTTAACAAAATGTAAAAAAATGTCTCAAGTCCATTAATTACTTAGTAATTACCAGATTAAGACAAATTTTATTCAAAATTTTAATATCCAATTATAAATAATAGTTTCTATTAAAATTTTGTAAATTCTATCTAGTTTTTAACTATGTATTTGAGATAAAATGTCCGGAAAGAAAATTTCAAGCTTTGAGAAAACATGTAAAAAATATCCTTAATCCACTAATTTGAAGTAAAAATATTTATTATGTAAAAAATGAAAATTATACTCACATCATCAATTTTCGAAGGCAATAGTTTATCAACAGCTTGCAAAATAATTTCGCTGCAAATCTCATCTCCAAAAACAACATTTTGCAAAATATTCTCGATAACTGGTTCTTCATAACAAAAAGAAATCACTTCGTACAAATGCTCTCCGAGGAAATGAGTAAGTTCCACATTTTGCTTCTCATTATTTATTTGATTTGACTTTACCTACAAAAAATAAAACATTTTAGTCAACATTTGAATTAAGCAATTAATGAATTTTATTACTTACACTAAATCTGCAATAAGTCAAAAAAGCTGCTCGTTTCAACATCATAGTATTAATACTAACATTCGAAACAATTGGGTTTTCTACAGCACTATTTTTATCATCATCAAGTTTTTCCAATCCATTCTTCCACAATTTCCAATCTTTCCAATTCAAATCGACAAGAAGATGTAACCAATGGCAATAAATGTAAGGAGATTTTTTCGAAACAAATAAAATTTCTTCCGTTAGTTTTTCTATTGGAATGTTTTCATCGTTGGAATATTGTTTGGAATATTTTCCAAGTGATTCATCTGATAGAATAGTAGAGACTGTTTTTGAAATTGATTTGAATTTGTTGTCGCCTAAACAAGAACAGAAAATAAATGTTTTGACTATTCAAAATTTCTATAAGCATGTATATGAAACAATTTTTACTAAATTAAAGTAAATTGTATCTAGTATTTACTAATGTAATTAAATTAAAATGTTCCCGAAGAAAATTTTGAGTTAGTTGACAAAATGTAAAAAATGTCTCAAATCTACATGCTGCTAATTAATTAACAGAAAATAAATGTCTCGACTAATTTTACTCAAACTTCCTCAAGCAAGCATATGCTACAGTTTTTACGGATTTCTAGTATATTTTATCTAGTCTCTATTAATGTGATTAAAGTAAAATGCTTCCAAAAAAAATTTCAAGTTATAAGACAAAATGTAAAAAATGTTCCTTACCTCTATCGGTATCAAAAACAGCTTCAACAATCTTCAAAAAATCCTCAAATTCTTCACAGATAAATTCAACATTATTTTGCGGATCATCTTCAAAACAACTTTTTAAATTATTAACACTCTCATAAATAACACAAAACAAAAACCTAACGAAAATCACTTCGTTAGTTATCGAGTTCATCAGCAACTGTTCAGGATTATCCAAAACTTGTAAAGGATCCTGATTGACCATCACTGATTTATTAAAAAATATTGCATTAAGATCTATTAAATTTTTCAGTTTCAAATCATCCAAATTTTGTAACAACTGTTTTTCATTAGGCAATGTTGCTAAAATTGTTGCCAGGAAAATTTTGAGTATCGAAAAGTTTTTAATGTTTGAATAGAAATTATAGTTCATACAAAGTTTTAATATTTCCTGTATATTTCGGAGTAGTATTTCACTGCTTAAAGTTTCAATTAAGTGTTGTAGGCTTTGTTGTTTGATTGAAGTTGTTATTTTAATTTTATTGTTCGTTATTAAGTTTAGTAAATGGTCCAAAATGAATTGTGAACGTCTGTTGTAGATTTGTTTGTTTTTGAAACTCAGAATGAGAATCATCGAGAAGGAGTTTTGGATTTCTGAATATTCCAACAACCTGAAAAAAATCAGACTAATTAAAACGTTATTAGATATCTGAAAATGTTGTTGGGTGCGTGAAAAATGTTGTAAGTTGTGTGAAAATGTTGCTAGATGTCAAAAAATGTTGTAGCGTGTCTAAAAATATTGCAACCTGTCTATAAGTGTTGCTAAATGTTCCAAATCGTTCTGAATCACTTGAGATCAAAATTTGGTGAAAGTATATGAGTATTGATGCTTACACCTAGTTTCTTTACCTCAAGACCATAGAAAAACAACCTCCCTCTTCGTCAGCAACTCATCATCTTCGCTATCAACAAAATCCTTTCCGTTCTTCATCGGCACCATAAAAAACACAGCCTCCACCAAAGGAACCAGAGCCGGTACACAATGAGTCTCATAATTCTGTTCACTTGCCAAAAGTTCATCGCACAAATGCAGAGCCCTATTGGAATAATCCTCATAGCACTTTTCACTCGACAGACGCAAGAGGAAACTAAACACCTGTTCGAGTAAAACCTGACAATCGGCAACTTGACCTAATTGGATGCTGTCGAATTGTTTGAAAACGTATTGGATAAAAGTGTTCTCCGAGTCCAACATTTTGTAATTGACTCTTAAGTGTAGAAGTTGGCACAGGAGGCTTAAGACACGTGCTTGTATCGAGGTGTTGTTGCAGGTCGTGTATTTCTTTAAACACTCAATCACCATTGGTTCGAACAGCCTGATGGAGGAAGACAGGAATTTTTTGTCGGGTTGCCAGGATGTTTGACGTTTTTTTAAAAAGGCTCTGAAGGCATCAAAGTCTTCTACTAATTTTATCCAAGGAGATACTTGGATTGTTTCAACAAATTTGTACGGATTGTTTGTAAATATGTCTTCAAAGTGTTTTTTTTCTGATACTGGAGCTCGTGTTGAAAAATCTAAAATGGAAATAATAAAAATTAACTCACGATTATAATTGACTAGCAAACCCGACGAACTCCGTTTCGCCACCAGATGGTTTCGTGAGAAAGATGAAGAATTTTTTGTTTGTTTTATATTTGAAAAGGAAAATTTGATTTTATTATACACAGTAATGAATTTATTTTGATTACGAAAATGAAGTGTTTTTTAGTTGAACTTCCTAAGTAAAAGAAAGTGAATCCGCAAATTATCCGTTTCATTGAAGTGCTCTTTGGTAAACAACATTTTTTGTTTTTTGGTCTGACGTTAATACAAAAAAAGCGGATGGTTTCCCAACTCGTGAACAGGCGGCAACGTATAACTGCCCATGTGAAAAACAATGATTTTCTAAATAATCTATTTAAAATTTATCCCGCAAACACTAAGCGATTATTATTTTTATATATATAGAAGATTATAATAATACACATCCCATTTTTTGAAAATTATATAATATATTAGTTTTTTAAAGTTAATTATTAGACAACTTTGCTTCCGCCGTTTTTACAATACGAGTTCTTCACAATAAGGGCGGAAGCAAAGTTGTATGTTATCAAATACGTTTTTAAATATACCGAGTTGCTGCAGGATCTTTTCATATTAGACAACATGGTTTATCATTTAATTATAAACAAATTAGCCAAAGACATTCATATTAAACAGATAGTTTGAAAGTTACAAGCGATACCATGATGAATAAATATTTCGTTAAACAGCCCGCATGGATTTAATTAGAGGTTAAGTGAATTATAAATATTTAAGCATCACAATATTTGAGTTTACAATATTTGAATTTATCACAGGTGACGCAAGAATTTATTTAAGGACATATGTTAATAATGGCATATGTTAATAATAAGAGCTAAAACTATTAGAGATTTATTTTTTATTCATTTGGAAGCATTCGAGCTCTTCGGATATATATATATATATATATTAAATTTTTTATATAATTTTGATGTTGAAATATGTGATATTCAGTTTTCAGGGCAATACATCAATTAATGGCAATGGAAAAAATAAAATTGTTTTAAAGTCATACAAATTTTTTTAATTGATGTATTGCCCTGAAAACTGAATATCATATATATATATATATATATATGATTTAGTAGTTAATTTTGATGTTGAAATATATGAGTGAGTTCTTGAGGGCGATACATCAATCAAAGAAAAGCCAAAGATTTATAAAATAATTTTTATTTCCATGGAAAATATGGAAATAAAGATTATTTTATAAATCTTTGGCTTTTCTTTGTTTGATGTATCGCCCTCAAGAACTCACTCATATATATATATATATACATATACAATTATAATTATTACCTATATTCAAGTAATCCACAACCCCAGAATAGTCCGACACAAGATTGCATTTAAAAGAGCCCTCAATAGTTGTTCGACACACAAAATAGTACTTTTAGGACACAGTTTAATGCACCATCTCGTGTGCAATAATATTTCATCTGATATACTGCCTGATATGTATCTGACTTGCACTTCGAGTAATTGTGAAATAGAACTTATGACGATGTCCAATAATGTCAAAAATTTTGTGCTTGCTTCATCGTCTATATTAGTCTGAAAGTGAAGGGAAAATTGTAAATATATATATATATATATATATATATATATATATATATATATATTAGTGATGTGCCAAGTCGAATCAAGTGATTCGAATCATTCGAATCAAGCCTTTAACGACTTGATTCGAATCAGATTTTACTTGATTCGAATCAACTCGTATCAAGCCGCGAAATATTTACTGTGATAAAATATGTATTAACACGAATTTTTCATAAATATAAAATTTTTCATAAATATAAAATAAAAAAAATGTTTTAATTTAATTCAATATTATAATAATATAAAAAATAAATATCATAAATATAAAAAATAAATAATGAATTAAATCATGCGAGCCACCCGACTTTAATATGCTTAAATGTATCGGCAGACTCCAATCGTCTTTATATGACTTTAACCGCATTCATCGACTAACTATATCATTCGACTTCATACGACTCAAACCGAATCAAGCGGCGATATGAGTTATTCCGACTTCATGAGTCAAACCGAATCAAGCGGCGATATGAGTTGTTCCGACTTCATATGAGCCAACTCGAATCAAGCGGCGATATGAGTTGTTCCGACTTCATATGAGCCAACTCGAATCAAGCGGCGATATGAGTTGTTTCGACTTCATGACACAAACCGAATCAAGCAGCGATATGAGTTGTTCCGACTTATGAGCCAAACCGAATCAAGCGGCGTTATGAGTTATTCCGAATTCTGATTCGAATCATCCCGACTTCAAGCCGTTCGAGCGATATGAGTTAACCGTATGGGCGATACAATGCGTCGTCGTTCTTGCGTGTTTATTTATTTTACGAAGAGCTGAGAGCGATTTTGTTCGTGAAATATCAATACCCAATTTTGATAATAATTAAGTGTTTTAGATCTTAAATGTTATCAGAATAAACCACTCGAAATTATGAAACGAGTTTCGGGAATCTTTCAATATAATTCTCTTTTGAAACAATTACTAAACACCAGAAAGTCAGTAAATAATATGTTAACTTCTAATTATGTAAGTAATGGCAAATTCACATTAATTAAATTTACTTTCAGCTCTCAGTTTAGATGCGATCCTTTACTGATTACATAGTAAAATAAACAATCGACCCATGATTCCAAATATTATTTTATATACTTTAGTGATGCACAATTGTTTGGTAATCTATTATGGTAAATTAATTTGAAGATATGTTTCAGCCGTCTTCAAAATTATATCATTTTTATTAATTTTCAAAATATACTTTTTGATAGTAATTTATGATTACAATTTCTACTTTGTCGGTTATATTGGTTGAACTGACAATTTTGATTATAAATTTGGATCACTTTTACTAAATTAATACATCCATGATTTTTTTGTCCATATATATACTTGATTCGAGTTGATTCGAATCATGATTCGAATCAGGTTTTTTTCTGATTCGAATCATTCGAATCGGGAATTTTTCGAGTCGGCACATCACTAATATATATATATATATATATATTATATATATATATATATATACTAGCAAACCCGACGAACTCCGTTTCGCCACCAGATGGTTTCGTGAGAAAGATGAAGAAATTGTTTGTTTGTTTTATATTAGAAGATTAACACTAATTTTCTTAACTATAAACCTTGCGGAGCCCGAGACCTTTCCAACGAATGCAAAATTGTCGAAATCGGTTCGTGCGTTCTGGAGTTATATCGTCAGGAAGGAAAACCCGACTTATTTTTATATATATATAGAAGATAATCTATTTGAAATTATTTAAAACAATTTTTGATTATTTTTATTACTCGAATTTTTAATTACGGTGCGTGAAGTTCCAGCAATTTGCATTAGGGCACGATGCCATGCACCATTAATTTTCTTAGCTGCAAACCTTGCGGAGCCCGAGACCTTTCCAACGAATGCAAAATTGTCGAAATCGGTTCGTGCGTTCTGGAGTTATTTCGTCAGGAAGGAAAACCCGACTTATTTTTATATATATAGAAGATATATAATATAAATGTATATTATAATAGTTGCCTTATAAATAGAATAAGCAGACTTCAAAGCTTCATAAAGCTTCATGTACAACGAGTTGTTGGCAAAATATCCAAATTGCTTCTTCGGTGATTCAGTTTCAGTATTTTTAGTTGCTGCAAATAAATAGAGAAAAAAAATTAAAACCTATTTCAGTATTCAGATTCTATTCAAAAAGACCTTTCAAATATCACACATGCCATAAAAGATAAAATCTAAAATTTTTGAAGTAAAACTTCTTTAAGCTCGTTTCTTATAAATTATGTGATAAGTATATTTGCAAGACATCAATTGAAAGGCATAATGCTATATTAAATATCAATTATCAATATTATTTACCTGCCAACCCTAAAGGTTTCTTACTGCTGCCTCCTCCGCCAATAGATTTCTGTACCTGGTTCGAATTTGCTGCCGCAGCAATATTCAATCCAGCATTGTTATCCAATTCGCCTTCGATAACGCATCTGTAGGCATTCAGGATTTTCAAAAGATGAGATTCTAGGGTCAGTATCATCTCTGATGGAGATCGAGACTTATCCAGATCAGAAATTGTTTCGTATAGGACTGAAGTTGGTTGCTCTGATGAGTTCGAGGAGATTTCTTTACATTGAGAAGCTGAAAGAGAATGCAAATATTATTATATATATATATATCTATATATATATATATATATACAGATATATATATATATATATATATGAATAGTCTTGAATTTGATGTTGATATATGTTTAATTTGAGTTTAAAATTCGGGCGTAACATCAAAAAAAATAGTATGTTCATTTATTTAAAGTTAATACTTATGTAAAGTTTATTCATTTAAAATCCATACGTTTCGGCTAGCATCTTAGCCATCATTCAGTAATCAAATTAACTATAAAAATTAAAACTAAATAAATAATATGTAAGAAATTTCATAGAAAAACAATAATAATAATAATAAAACACTTACAATTTTGTATCCTAATATGGGATTAATATAATTATTAATCCATGGTATGAGTATGTGCACATTGATAAAAATATATTTTTTAACATCACAAATGGTAAAACACACTAATAACCATGATAACTTAACAAGTTATTGTAACTATGTATTTACTCTTCGGAGTTTAAGATAGAAATGTCACATTTTTTCAATCTTATGGGAAATTTAAAAAGCGATGGAATCTTGTCATTTTTTAAGAAATTTTGACACGCTATTAAAAAACCATGTGTTTGTTTCGTTCAGGGCCGTATTGTCGAAGCGTTTGTTTATGACCCTGTCGTTATGCAATTGCTAAAACAACCCCTCGTGAATCTTCTTTTAATTACGTTCTCTTCAAAATGTAAAATTTTAGGGTTGAAAAAATCTATATTATGGTTTAAATTTTTAATATGCTCGGTTAACATCGTCTTAAATTGCTTCGGAATTTTTGATTTATTTTTATGTTGATGAAGGCGTTTACTTAGGTTTGGCTAGTTCTCCGATATAAAAAGTTCGCAATTAGAGCAATTAATCTGATATACCAAGTTCCTGAAGCGGTCAGAATTAAACTTATTATTGTTTTTCTATGAAATTTCTTACATATTATTTATTTAGTTTTAAGTTTTATAGTTAATTTGATTACCACTGAATGATGGCTAAGATGCCAGCCGAAACGTATGGATTTTAAATAAATAAACTTTAGAAAAACTCTCATACTATTTTTATTGATGTTACGCCCGATTTTAAACTCAATTAAAAATTATAATATAAAGATATATATACTATATATATATATATATATATATTATTTTGTAAAAAACCACTTACCGCATAATAAATTGGTTAACATTATAATAATATCTTTGTGTAAATTAAATCATGCTGTAGTGATGTCTCTGGTATTAGCTGTTGCAGCAGTTCGCATGAAAATACATTCGAGCCAAAAATCCATAAGTTATAGCATTGTAGCGTTGAATTAGAGCTGCTAAAGCACTGATTGACACCCATCTAAAAAGTACATGTGTAAATTATATATATACACAAATTACACCACACATACACACACATATATATATATATATATATATATATATAATATACCAGCAAGTAACTTACCATTAAATTCTTATCATACATCATACAACAAAGCATCTCCGACAACTCAAACAGCACTCTGGATAAATTCTTCTCAACACCATCACGATCCTGTACCCCTTTATATTTATTCATGCCGCAAAAGGGCCACATTAGATTTCTACACAATTTATTATCAATCAAATATTTGAAGGACACCTTATCACAATCAGTTTTTACATCCCCTCGATGTCTCACAAAAACATTTACTAGAGGATCTGAATTGGAATAATCATTCGAGTAGTAAAGGTTTGGTATGATTTCGCACAGGCATTTTGTGCTGGCACTTCTGACTCTGGAGTCTTCGTTTGACAAGAATTGATATAGAATGTCGTGTAGTACTTTTTCCTGGTAAGAGTCTGACCTGGTTATGAGGTAGATGTGCTTGTAGTTTAGTTTTGAAAGGAGTTCTGCGAGTTTTACTTTTATGAGCCAGTATGGTTTTTTTGAGACTTGGAGAAGTTCGTTGAGTAGAAGCTTGATTGTCTAAAATGGAAAAGGAAATAGAGAACTAGTTGGTTTGGTATTTAGCCTTGAGGCAAGTTACATGAACTTCCCGATATGTGTAATTTATCGACTTAATCAATAAAAAATAATTTAATTGATGAGTGATTAGAAGTATTCCGAGTGGATTTATTACACATGATTGTAAGTGCGAACGAACACTTTGACTCGAAGTATTTTCTAATAGAAAATTTTCAAAAATCACCAGTTTTTATAATTGAACCAGTTTCCATAGGACTTTAATGGTTTACTATGTTCATTAAAACCAAGTATTCTATCGTTATACCAAGTAAATCGTCTAATTTTAATTTTAACAAACGTCAAAGAAACTACTAATTTTCTTAATCTTTGATTAATTTTTAAAATTAAACTAATTGTCGTAAAGCCGTGATATTTCAATAAGTTGTATAAGACCGTGATATATATCGACAAAAAAAGTTCCATAAAAATCGGCCTAAATTTTTTTTCAACAGTTAATTACAAGAAAACGGCTCGGTATATTTTCACCTAAAACTAATCAGTATCCTTCCCAACTAATATCTTACGAACAGTTTTTGAATTTTTAAAATCGATTCGGTAGTTTGAGCTTAAATGTGGACGACTTTGTTTCAATTTACAAAGAAACGGTTTGGCAGATCGTGTCACATAACTGACAAACAATAGTCCTCTTTGAGATACATCAAATGGCTTTTAAATTTCTGAAATCGGTTCAGGCATTTTTGAGAAAACGTCGATCAAATGTCCAATTTTGACAAATGCCAAAAAAACGATAATAATTTTTGCAAACTTTGATGAATTTTTAAAGCTGAACGAGTTGTCGTAGGGCTGTAATATTTTAGTATGATCTAGAAGACTATGGTATCTACCGTCAAAAAAATAATAATAAAAATCGTCAAATTTTTTTTTTTTAAACTTTATTACAAGAAAACGGCCCGGCTGATCTTTACCAAAAACTAATCAGCACGATTCCAACCAATATCTTTCGAACGGTTTTTGAATTTTCAAAATCGATTAAGAATTGCGGGCTAAAACGTGGACGAAAATTTTTCACTTTTCTGCGATTTACAAAGAAACGGCTCGGCCGATCGTCACACAAAACTCAGAAACGCTAGTCCTCATCGAAATACATCGAATGGCTTCTAAATTTTTGAAATCGGACCAACCGTTTTTGAGAAAACGTCGATTTACGGCTTCTTCCAAATTTGGTCTCATTCGATTCAGAATGGCTTGAAACGTTGAGAAAACATAAAATTAGCGAATCGGATTTTTTGATAAAAACAAACTTCTCCTTCGGGAAGTTAATAAAATCTTTGCATTTAGAATATAAAATAAAATATATATGCAAATTTTATCATTAAATGAAATGGCAGTCCGAATTTGGCCTGGGTAGTCTGAAAATGTTCTAAGTAGCCTGAAAATGCTCTAAATAGTCTCAAAATGTCCTAGATAGTCTGAGAAATGTCAGATATAGTCCAAAAATGTTCTAGGTAGTCAGAAAATATTCTAGATAATCTAAAAATGTTCTAGGTAGCCCAAAAATATTGGATAGTGGATAGCCCAAAAATGTTCTATATAGTCTGAAAATATTCTATATAGTCCAAAAGTGTTATATTTAAAAATAATATGCATGATTAATCACAATTAATGTACATATATTTTCTTACCTCAAAATCTGTACTGCTCCTTATCAAATTCCTCAAACAATCCTCGACCGCTTGCAAACTTTGCCTCGTAGCAGTCTGTATATCATCTTTCAAACCATCAATCAAAATACAAATCAACTTTTTCAAATCGTAAGCATCTTTAAAAACCGCAAACTGTTCCGCACACCACTGCTCGTAACTCAAGGTATTATAATTATCAATTGTAGTAATAAATTGGCCTATATTAAGTTAGTGACCCCCTCAATTGTGATCTGGATGTCTGGAGAAGAGTATAGATAGCCGTGAAAGTTTGATATTTTTCCAGTTCGGTTTCTGTGCCAAAGCCTTCATTTCCAAGTGATCCATTTTTTAATTGGATGCCGTTCAGGATTTTGTCATTGGCATGGAGGTCGAGGTAGCTTGTCATGAAGTTGGGTAAAATTTGACAATGTTACATAAAGCAACACAAAGCTGAGCATTTCAAAGTGACCTTAACATTTTTATCATCTTTGATGAAACCTTTGAAAACCGTCAGCAAAAAATTTGTGTGTTATTAATCTTACACAAAACATAATTAAACTTGTATCATTTTTCACTAGATCACCAATGTACAAATCATTGTTAAATACATCACTCATGTTCACATTTCCATTACAGTATATATTTTTATCACCACTTTCTTTCTGTTGCGTGCAAGTTTTATCGAGGTTACAAATTTGTACGTATTGAATGATCACTCAAAGAATCGCTTATCGATTGGTTTGAAAACAGAACACAATCTGGTTTGGATGTCGATAAATCTGTTTTTGAGATAGACTAATTTCATTGTTGTCAATTTTGATTGTAAAACCCAGTCTTCGGATATTGAGTTTTCTAAAATGCTTTCTGATAAATCATAATCTAGTCTATGTCTGATATGATTGAGTTCGATTATACTCATTTGGCCTAAAAGAATAAAAACAGTGAGAAACTAGTTAAAATATACACTTTTAATAAATTTATAGTGTAGTAGGTATCGTTTAAAAGGTCTCGACATGTAAAAATCTTTTTAAAATATTAGTATAATAAAATTTATATATACATTTTTTTTCACAAGGTGTGAAACTTTTATAGCAAATACTAGGATTTCTCCACAAATTTCATAGATTTTTTACGAATTTTGCAGTAGAGAAGTCAGTTAATTATCTAAAAGATAAAAAAGCACTCTACTGACGAGCATACTAAATAGAAACATAAAAGAAAAAGGACTCACACACCTAATCAAATACACACATATAAAAACACACATTTTCCAAATTTGGTCTTATTCAATTCAGATCGACTTGAATAATCTACTCACTTGCAGTTTGTTCCTCCAACATATTTTTGGCATGTTCTTGATCGTGCAGTCTTAAAGTGTAGTTAGTGGAAATTAAAGTGTTTATTAATTTTTTTGGTGCGTTAAACAATAAATAGTTTAAAGTTTCAAGTGCAGCATTTGTGATTACTGTATTTCCACTGCTGGTTACCTTAATATAGTGCAGACACAGCTCAAAAATCTAAAAAGAAATACAATTATGAAAATTATATAAATTATATTATATATAATAATAATTATATATATATATATATATAATATATATATATTATATATAATAATAAAAATTTCACTCACCTGTAAAATTTGATCTAAACTTGTCGTAGACTTCCCTTTATTAAAATACCCATAATACACGGGAAGCAACAATTTAAGACCGTTCAAAGCCCCCACGATTACATTACTTTGAAGACTTTCATTAAAAGGAACAATTAAATCTATAAAACACAACCAAAAACAATTAACACACTTTAAAATAATTTTACCAATTATTTATTTACTTACCAAATACCATATTAAGTACATAATCAATAAAAATTTCAGTCTTTTCATTCTGTGTGCAGATCGAAGATAAATTTTGTGCAGCACAACGTCTCCTAACAGGCGAATCTGATTTTAGGACTTCTATAATTGATTTTATTAGACTTTTCATTTCTTTATCGGTCGCAAAAAGGCCTAAACTTTTAATAATCTTTGGCAAACTTTCGCTAAATGTCTCGTGCAACAAGTCATCAGGCTTTGATAAAAGATTTTCTAAACAAGGAAACAAATTTGCAACGTACACTTTGCCTTTTTGAGGCTTTATGTATACTGATAGCTTTGCAAATCTTGTTAAAGCTATACGAACAGACCTAAAATTAATAAATTAAATTAGATTTGATTTAATATCACACATAAGTATGTATTATCATCCCTAAAACAACTCCAATTGTATTTTAGCCATATAACTACCACTCAAGGCTCTAATTATCCTATCCAAGCTTTCACAAGCAACCATTCGAATATCTGAGTGCTCATCGTGGCAAAGTCTTATCAACACAACGAAATGGAAACATTTATTCTTTGTGCAAAAATTGGAGCACTTTTAAAATTAGCATCCTGCATAAAATGTCCTGCTATAGACACACAATGCTGTGCTTTTTCTTTAGACCTAGAAATACAATTTAGTATAATATACCTATAAATATGTGAATACACAATTTCTTTTACTACCTTAATAGAACATCTGAATATTTTTAACACATCAATGGATTTATCAGTTTTTCGAGCAAGGACATTTTGTGCTGGTAAAGATTTGTTGTTTATATTTGCTTATTGTATTGTTTAATTAAAATTATCCATTTGAAAAGGACATGACAACAACCGACTGTCAAAATGATTAACTGTCAATTAGAAGATAATTCTATAAATATTTGTAAAACTAGAAATTATTATTTTATTTTATTACGTTTAAGTTAATTAATGCAATTTGAACCATTTTTTGTTTATTATTATATTAATTTAATTAATTTAAGTATAAATACATACTTTGAATTATTTTCGTACACACGAACTTTACTTTCTAAGTCAATCTTCAAAAAAACAACTATTTTTCATATTTAAAAGTGATTCAAAATACAAATCATGTTAATTTTTTATTAATATTTGTTAACGGACTGACTCGGATATTATATAAATAATGTTATTGTCATGCTATTATGTTTATTAGAATTTAGTTTTTTCATGCAAATCTCTGTTAAGAAATTTTCTTCATGTAAAAACTATTTATTAAAACAAATTTGTTTAACAAATAAATAAATGGAATCCTATTAACTAATTATTAATAACTGAATAAATAAATATTTATATCTAATTGTCTTCTGTCTCCGGTTGTTTTTTTTTGCACTGATCAGAAAGAGTCCTACGACTCCTCTTTTTATTGACCTCATATTGTTGTTCCTTAAAATTAGAAATATAATATACAGAGTGTCCAAGAACTCAACATCAAGCTGAAACGGGATGATAGTATTGACCTTAACTACCCTAAAAAAAAATTAAAAAAACGTCACGTACGTACCCACACAGCACATGGTTGACATAGGGTCAACCTGGAAGTCACAATGGGCTGTAGGATTAACCTATGGTCAACCCACTGGTACCATATAATGAAATAGGTGAACCCATTGGACGACACAATGTCAGAGCCCTGATTTGACCCATGGTCAACTCTACGGGTTCAATATGCGTATGCTATGGGGCTGGTGGTATCGTCGTTATGGGTTCAAAAATGGCGGTGCAATAGTGCAATATATTATACAAAGTTGTATGGAAATTATGAGCTTTTGAGTACAACCTAAGACTTTCGTGTAATTGTAATAATTTTTCGGACATTGTGGTTAATTTCAATTAATTTTGTTCATTAAAACCTTAGAACCGTAATCGTGAATAACATTTTTAAGACCAGTGATAAATAGGCAACAAAAGTTTTCAAGAATTGAAGCTTTTCATTTGTATCATTGTTTTCGACTGTGGTCCCAATAGCCCTAGTAATGTTATTTACGGTTATGGTTCCTAAATTTAAATGAACAAAATTAAAAATTTAAAATTATCCATAATGAATACTATAACCGAAAAATGGTCATGAATACCAAAAGCTCTTAGTAGTGCAAGAAAAGCTCATAATTTCCAGACAATGTGGATAGTTTTTTCTAATTTTTTCAGGACACTGAAGGTTAATACTCCACTTTGTTCTGGGTATACCAGTTATATATTATATAGATATATTATTATTATATTATATATTTAATATATATATATTCAAAATTCAAAAAGTACCCGGAATATTCGTTTTTTTCAAAAAAATATTTATTTATTCGTCTACATTAATGTGGTCCCCTTCAAAGTAGTCCCCCCCAGATATAATACACTTATGCCAGCGTTTTTTCCAATTTTCGAAGCACCCTTGATATTCACTTTTTGATATGTCCTTGAGCACTCTCAGCGATTTTCTTCAATCGAGGAAAACCGCCGTCCTTTCATGGGTCTCTTCAACTTTGGGAATAGGAAAAAGGTCAACGGAGCCATATCTGGTGAATTTTTGCACTTTGCAACACTTTATTTCATTTTTTACGCAAAATTTAATACAAATTCTTTGACTTTTCAATTCTTCCATTGTAAAAAATCGCCGAGCTCAGAAAAAACGTCGAAACTTTAGCGACTACCACAGACAAAGTAAACAGTTGAATATAGCTGAATAAATTTCATCATACTTTAGGGGCATGTATACCAACACAATAAAAAAAAATTTTTGACAATCAGACACTCAGACCCGAAATTTAATTATTAGTAATTCCGGGTACTTTTTGAACACACCTCGTAATTATAACCAGTGCTGGATTTACAGTAAGGGCAATCGGGGCTACTGCCCAGGGCAGCAAATTTTGGGGGGGCGGCAAAATTTGGATAGTGAGAAAAAAATTCTATACATATAATCAACTTTTTTTAAAACACATTTTTTATTTCAAGAAATATATTTACAAAACATAATACGATTGCAATGCAAAATTTGGTTTGAAATAACCGCGATAACTAAAATTTATTATTTGCCTTGCCTCCCTCTCCGAACGTACATTATCAAATTGGTTAATAAGTTACCAAAATTGGCAATTGGCTAATATAAAGATCCGTAAAACAAGCTGAAAGTTTAAGAAAAATATGTCTTCAGTTCTCGAGCCCTCTTAAAATGTCGTATTATTTAAACTAGTGACTCATGGCATTGTGCCTTAAGACAAATTACTGAAACAACCCGTACTAAAAATTACATTTTATAAGAGCTTTAAATTTTTTTGAAAAATGAAAAAAAAGACTTTTAAAACACATTTTTTGCATTTTGAAATTTTTCGAAAATTATGAACTTTTTGCAAAGCAATCGCGCTGCGTAGGTATTTGAGAGAAGAAATCTCGAAACTCCATTACTCCCCGTCAATACAAATCTAATATTTTTTAATTATTCAAGTCGATTTCGATAACGCGGATCAACCGATTCAAATGATTCAATTCCTATTTATAAGGAGACGTGCTGATTAGTTATTGGCCAAGGCAGGTTCAACTGTTTTGAAGATACGGGCCAAAATGCCAAAAATGATAATTCAGTTTTTGAGAAAAAAAACGTTCAATATCACTCAAAAAAATTTACAGAATAAATAACTGCTTAAATTTGTGGGGGGCAAGTTTAGCGGTTTCGATGATTCAATAAAAAATTTTGAAAAAGAAACATTTGCGGACAAAAGTGATCATAAGACATATGCACGTTAAATTATCAGATATTTTAAAGATATTATAATAAGTATAAATTTTGTTTACATTTATAAGCATTGTGTAACATTGTTTAACCGTTAGACTTCGATGCGGCGCTTACGCGCTTCTATATTTTGTCCCTACGCAGCTGAAGCAGCGCGATTGCTTTAAAAAGAAGTTCGAAAGTTCGTAAAATTTCAGGGATGGGGCGGCAGCTGAAGCAGCGCGATTGCTTTAAAAAGAAGTTCGAAAGTTCGTAAAATTTCAGGGATGGGGCGGCATTTTTGTCAGTGCCCCGGGGCGCCAAATTTTTGAATCCGGTCCTGATTATAACTATAAGTATTATTACCTGCATCAATTTAAAATACATGGCAATCAAAGCCAAACCCAACATCAAATACATGGCGCACAGGATGGAACTAAGTTCCAAACCCTTTTCGAAAGTTATGCTTGAATTTGAATATTAGATTAATATAAATTATTAATTTATAAAACTAAATTCTATCAATCTACCGATCCCATGGTACAATATCACCAAATCGAATCGAACTTAGAGAAATAAAACAGATATAGGACCCGTCCACACTGTTTCCATCTTCCCAACGGGAGAACAGACAGAAACAAAAAATAATATACCTAAACAATAAATGACAATTGAAGATACAAAATAAGGGGCTGATTGTCAGCATAGAAATGTTATGTCGCATCTAAAAAGCTTTTGGACAATTAGAGACTGCCAACTCATATGGATTATATCTATTTCTATGTTATCATTCATAAGATTCCTTTATCCCTTTATCTTACCCGACCATTTTGGCCAAACACAAAGTGATGGGGACAGAAACCATAGATAAGTAAACCTAGTTTCAGGTTAAGAGCACGCGTTTGGCCTAGGTGAATCATAGTATCTTTTCAAAAGCGCATCATGCGAATTTAATGGAACTTGGCACACATTGTGATTATACTTTACCAAGATCGTGACAAAATTAGTAGACTACCTCAACAAACTTATGGATTCATTTGAAGCCATCTAATCTAAGTACAAGTCGCACTTAGTTACCAACTATTTAAAGATTCAATAAAAATCTTTTTGTTTTAAATTAATTCCACCTTTAGCTATAGTTACTGACTTTTCCGCTTTTAAAGCCTTGTATAAAAAACTGTTCGCGTTAAATTTCAAAGCAATTAACTTTAGGAGAAGATATCACTTTTCTTGTGCATATTTCAAGTCGACTCTTGTCACTAACTTTAAGGCAATTGTGTTAAGCATTCAGAAACTTGATTTAGCTAATTTTTTGGTAATTTTTGTAAATTTAAATATAGAACTTTAAAATGATTGGTGAAGGGCTATATTTGAACTTTAAAAATTTTGCGTTCCGCAACATATAAAGCAATTTATCGCATATATCATTTTCAGATTATAATAATGAGTAGTTGAAATTTATTATAAAGTAATGAGGACAACTCAAATTCAAGCTAATCTTTTTAAAAAGTCAGGACAAATCGGAAGAAAAGCATAACTCTACCAGTGCTGGATTTACAGTAGGGGCAATCGGGGCTACTGCCCAGGGCGGCAAATTTTGGGGGGCGGCAAAATTTGGACAGTGAGAAAAAAATCTATACAATATAATCAACTTTTTTAACAACATTTTTTATTTCAAGAAATATAATTAACAAAACATAATACGATTGCAATGCAAAATTTGGGTTGAAATAAACGATAACTAAAATTTATTATTTTGCCTCCCTCTCCGAACGTAAATTATCAAATTGGTTAATAAGTTATCAAATTTGGCAATTTGGCTAATATAAAGATCCGTAAACAGGCTGAAAGTTTAAGAAAAATATGTTTCTTCAGTTCTCGAGCCCTCTTGAAATGACGTATTTGTGCACTTCCAAGCTTATAGCGTCAAAAAAAAAAAAAATTAATCTAGTGACTCATGGCATTGTGCCTTAAGACAAATTACTGAAACATTCCGTACTGAAAATTACATTTTATAAAGAGCTTTAAATTTTATTGAAAAATGAAAAAAAAAGACTTCTAAAACACATTTTTTGTATTTTGAAATTTTTCAGCGTAGCTGTTTCAGAGAAGAAATATCGAAACTCAATTACCATTTTTCGTAACTGCCTGTACTAAAAGCTGTACCAGCACGTCTCCTCATCAATACAAATCTAATATTTTTTAATTATTCAAGTCGATTTCGAGAACACGGATCAACCGATTTATGATTCAATTCCTATTGATAAGGAGACGTGCTAATTAGTTATTGGTCAAGGCAGGTCCAACTGTTTTGATGATACGGGCCAAAATGCCAAAAATGATAATTCAGTTTTGAGAAAAAAAGTTCCAATAACAGTCAAAAACATACAGAATAAATAACTGCTAAATTTGTGGAGGGCAGGTTTAGCGGTTTCGATGATCCAATAAAGAAAGAAACATTTGGCGGACAAAAGTGATCATAAGACATATGCACATTAAATTATCAGATATTTTAAAGATATTATAATAATAAGTATAAATTTTGTTCACATTTATATAAGTTTGTAACATGTTTATCCGTAAGACTGCGACGGCGCTTACGCGTTTCTATATTTTCGTCCCTCGCAGCTGAAGCAGCGCGATTATCTTTAAAAAAAGTTCGAAAGTTTGTAAATTTTAGGGATGGGCGGCATTATTGTCAGTGCCCGGGCGCCAAATTTCTAAATCCGGCCCTGACTCTACCACCAAGGAAGCAAGGTTGACTGTCCGGCCAAACTGGGATACCTTTACATTCAAATCACCAAAATTCTCAAATGAACCCTCCCCCCGGTTAGGGTTTAGAATTCATCCTCATGGCTTTATAAGGTGGCGTAGGTTAGGAGATTACTTATCCCCACCCTAGGCAGCACCTTAGGGATAAAGTGGTTCAGGCAAAATCTCGCTAGACGACTTTTATAATCCCACTGTATTGCATCAATTGTTTAGCGCTAGTTTTTTTTTGCGGTTACTGTAACTTATCCTACGGGAAGTTAAAACATTGTCCTAATTTCACCAAAGCTCGTTGCACTCGGTTTGCGGTTAAGGTGTGGTACACCATGCATATAATATAAAACTCAAAGATAAAATATGATCTTGAAACATCACTTCACTCAATAAGTCCATTAATAAGACATTCTATTACTAAGACAAACCTATTGTTTTGGCAAAATTCAATATAGAAAAAAGAAAAAAAAAAAAACGTTTTCTTCGAAGACGATATACCAATTATTATAGCTTACTTGAAAGTTTTCGAAACCATGTTTGTAGTACGATTTGTACTTGGCCACACAATTCGGCCATCACGTCATCATTTGGCAAAAATTTCTTCAGAGCGAGCATTCTTTTGAGATCTGAGTCCAGAATATGGTCGCTGGGAAACAGATATAAAAATATATCGCGGGAGCGATTCAGAGTTCAATTCATGTTTTTTTGGCCACTGTTTTCACGGATTTGTGACTTTGTTCATTGTCCTTGATTTTTCAAGCACACAGTTTTTTTTTTCAAATGGATCGTTTTTCTTATTTTGATCTTCAAATGTTCCTATAACGTTATACAATAGTGACTGTTGATGGTCTAGACTTTTTCATGATAGTTGATGAAGATTATTTCTTGCGTATCCCAAAAAAAAACTGACGCCATAATCTTGTCAGCTGATAGGTTGCATTTTTCCTCGTCACTGTGTCTAGTCGACTCGGCTAACTGCCTATTCGACTCCGGAGTGTAGTGTTAAAGTCGGGTCATATCCATGGTGACATATTGATGCAAAAACTTAGTTTTATTTTGATTAAACAGCTCCAAATACTCTTACGAATCATCAACTCGTTATGCTTTTGGTCAAACGTGAATTTGCGCGGCACAAAGGTTTTTCCTATTCAAATATTCGTGAACGACATAAATCACGTCCATCACGTTCTATTGATATCTTTAGGGTGTTAGCTCTCTCAGGCAATTTTACTTTTCGGTTCTCCAAAACGGTTCGGCGGACTTTTTCTATATTTTCCGGTGTAACCACCTCAATTGGCCTTCCAGAGCGTTCAGCATCGTCAATGTCTGTATGGTCACGATTAAAATCAGCAAACCACTTGTACTTCACCATCTACTTCAATTTGGAACAGTCCAGGTAACACTTATCAACGCTTTGGCAGTAATGGTATTTTTATCCACCAAAAAGCAATGATAAATCAACACATAAAATAGGCTTGAATTCATAGCTTCGAAAAACTCAAAAGTAGCTTCACTTGAACCTCTGTAACTTGTAAACTAATCGTCCAATTATCATGAAATTTTGACATATATCTTCTTAAAGTTATTGCTTCCTACAAATCATACGGATGATTACATAGCTACATCATCTTTATGTTATCCTACGAACTTATTGAGTGTCTAACAGTTATATCTTATACTGTGAATTAAAAATTCTGACATAGGCATTTGGGTCCAAGGTATGTATATATATATGTATATATATATATATATATATATATATGTATATTAGTAAATAAAATAAATCTCTATGGTGACAAAAACAATTGATTGAATATTAAATAATACTTTCATAGATCTAAAAAACATTTATTGTATATTAATTATTTATATCTTTCAGTATATAAGTAAGTACGTTTGCAGTTACATAATGCATAGTTATACAATTTCACTTATATATAAAATAGAAAATTAATATTTTAACTGGTATATGTTTCCTGATTAAATTGGCAGTTGGTGACAGTAAAACTTATTTGGTACATATATTAACAACTAGTGCCCGTTTACTAACATTTTTCATAAAACACATATGTAACAAAATGACGTATGAGGTATAGCCGTGTTTTATAAAACATATGGCTATAAGTTTGGCAGTGAATTTGATGTGATAATTATAAATCATCACTATATTTCCATTAATTATTAACTGTTTTCTTTGCTTTCAAGTTTAGAGAACTTTGTGATAATTGCTATGAACTATAAAGAGAGAAAAGTGTACTGCAGCTAAAATATTGCTAGAAATATATCATTCGCTATTCTAATTTATAACACAGATACATTAGATGTGCAATTTTGAAACTTTTTTAATCCAAACTCCTCTTATAGCAATTATTAAAATAATTCGTAGTTAAAATATATATTTCTATATACATTTTGCTAAAAAACATACTTTATACTCACATGCTTACATACAAGAAGGTATATATATTACCTCATAATTGAAAAAAATTCAGATACGCCCATTTTATATAAAAAATGGTTAAATTTAAATTAAACCAAATCACACAGTATAATATAAATTATATTTATTAATTAAAATAATTAAAAATGTATTGATTATTTCTAAAGTGATGTTTTTTTGCTTATCTTCAGCAGGAATAAGTATATTACTTGCTTTCGTTAAATAACATTAAAAATAGATACTGAATACAAAAATATCGAATGTTAAAATTATCCTTATTTTTTCGCTGCTCTATTTGTTAAATCACATATAGAATTTTATACAAACCGTTCGAAAATTATACTGATAACCATATAATATAAGTTTTGTAATGATATTGCAAAATAACAAGTAAATGATTATTAACTGGACGACGGATGTATTTCTCATTTCTTCGAATAAGTTGGAAGAGCTAACACATACTTAGTGGTATTTCAGACAAATGTTCAAAAAATAAAAATTATAAAATGACAAATTGATTTATATATAAATATGACAGGATACATTTATAATAACTCACAAATAGTGCCGTTTTGCAATTTATAATTACTTGTTATTTTGTTTATCATTTATATAAACGTACGTTTATATATATATATATATATATATAATAAATAAACCAAAAAAAATAAATTGTACCATCTTTATTTGCTAGCTTTTTTAAAATTCGCGAACACTTCAAAAGATTTACTGTAATAGTCAAACATACAGTTATCGCTCGAATAATATTAGTTCTCTAAAATAGTTACCATTATCTCATCATATATCCTCTGAATAATAAAATATAATTTATCTACATTAAATATTGTTTTCTAATGTGCAAATTTACATTAGAAATAATAATTTGTATGCCAGACTCATGTTAGAGATAATATACAACTAATCACATTTTAAATTTATTTCATTACACTAACTAGAATAAATTATTTAATTAAATATTATGATCATTTATAAAGTTTAATAATAAATCTTAGAATGCACCTTAATTTCAATATATAATAATTGCACATACAGAAATAAATATTTTCTTTTAATTTGCTATCATGAGTCGCTCATCTTTCATTATGATCTAGTATCACCACTTTTTATTTCCTAACATTAAATAAATTATTAATTATTTATAATAATACTCTTAGAATTTAACATTGAGCTCTATGCTTACATTTAAGTTTCTGGCTCCAAGATTACATTTTGAAACCAGCAATTTTTATAACTGTGATTAAATATTAAATACAATTCTACTACGCAAGCTACGTAGTAATATTCAAAAATGATTTTTATTTCTTTGGAAATCAAGATAAAAGTAGAAATGATAATTTAGATAGCATAAATCAGCTACCATCAATTTAAAATGCCAAAAGTTATATGCGCTATGTTTAATGAAGAGTCAACCCTCAGTTAACACGGCACCGTGGGTGCACGGTTTCCATACAACTGAAGCTGGAAGTCGGAGGAATGCAGGAGCTAAAAATCCGACATCCCTCCGACTACACGGACTTCCTATTACACGGTTTTTGTTCAACAGTTTATAAGTTACTTGAGCGACCTATGAGTGATTATAGGAACTTGATATAGAAAGTAAGTTTTGTTATCGAATTCTATCTTTTAGACATGTCTGATTATATAATAGCTGTCTAAAAGCACGTTTGAACTGACTATTGCGTCGTGCCAATTTTTGAATGTGTTGCCTATGTCATACATATCATTTCGTCCGTATTACTCCTACTTCAAGTTGCATTTCTTGGTCTTCATATAGCTCGACAAAAATGGTGCGATTTGTACAGTTTGTACTAACTCAGTCTCTCATAGCGTGGTTCCCATACTGCACTGTATAAGTTTCCATAGAACGCATTACAAATTAGCCTGAATTGTATGTTAATAAATTCGAGTTTTTTATACCACGGTTCCTATACTGCACTGTACGGACTTGTCGCGTTAACCGAGGGTTGTCTATATATATATATATATATATATATATATATATATATGCAGCCAACCCTTGTTAACCGGGCACTATGGTTACGTTCTACACGGTACCAAAAATTCGACATCCCTCCGATAACACGGACTCCACACTAATCTCGCTCAACAGGCACGCGCAACCAATGAATAAATCTAGTAACTAAATATGGCTGTAAATAGTTTTAATACAGGTTTTATTATCGACTACTTTATATTATACAATATATTTATATAATCATGTTTATAACGTATTAGCTGTGTACGACACAAAATTAGTCTTTCTAAAAAAAATTCAGCTTGAAAAACTTTTTGCTATAAAAACAGTTTTTTGGTTTAACTTTTGTTTAATTTTTTATCATTTCTTAGTATAAACTCCTGAATTCAATAAAAACATTTTTTTTCTCTTCATTATCTATTGCTTTAACATTTAAAGACTTTAAATTCTTACCAACAACCATTTTAAAGTCTACATCATTTTTATATTTAATATTTATAGGGATTCAATCCTAGTGCCTCCGCATCTGCAAGCCGAGCGCTGACCGATTCGACTATGCAAGCCTTCAAGAATTTGTACCAAAATTTGTAACTTATGTAACAGCGATAAAAATGCTGTGATTTGTACTAATTCTGAGTCTCTCAGAGCGCTATAGCGCTATAGCAAGTTTTCATAGAACGCACTACGAATTGGCCTGGATTCTATGTTAAATCCGATATTTTGATAGCACGGTTCCCGCAGTACACGGTACGCACGATTACTATAATTTGCCCTACGGGAAGTTAAAAAACGATGGATTTCTGGCACAGCTTCATAACATACGAGTGACATTGCAGTTTATGGGTAAAACATGGCGAGTTATCTCCGAAGAACAAATGTATATTACCGTGTTTTGACATTGAGTATTGCCATGCTTTGATTATAACCGCCGCGTTAACGGAGGGTTGACTGTATATATATCCTTACATAAGATTAATCACTGATAGCCAATTCCAGCTTGAACAAAATCAAATAAACTCCTTTAATTCAAAACATTTGAACTTTAAAAACAAATTGAATAAAAAAAAATTGTAAAATACAGCAAACCTTTCCGCAGTCAATTAATATTAATCTGTTTCCCGAAAATCAAGAGACCTCGACCGCGACTTCATCGATGACGGTAATGAATCGATCGCGGTTGCAGCAATCATGTTTTTCTATATGAGAAACTGGTATAGAACTTTCTTCTTCTTCTTCTTGATTTTCTTCAATTATTGCATGAGTTCCACCAGATTGTGAACGACCTCGAGCCAAGGACCATCGTCTTCCTTTGCGGTCCATAATGATGGGAGTTTCGGCGATTAAATTGTTTTCGAATTCGCTCAGCATTAGATAGTTTTCAACCTTGAATTAATTTTTTTTATATTAGAACAGCTATCTAGACTAGGACTATAATTTAATAATAATAATAAGTAGTTTTTGTTGCGCATTCCTTAACTTGGTGCTTCGGTATGGTATTGAAGTAGTTGACCATTCCCTCGCTGTTGAGATTATTTAAGAGATATTTTTAACAATGATGTGAATATGTAGCAGCAACGCTTAATTCAATTTCTCTTAATATCATATATAAGATCTATAATCTTAATGAAAAATCTGGTCACACTACTGTCCAACGTGGGAAACGATTTTAAGCCAAGTGTGGACCAGTAGTTACTAATTCACGTTTCTACCACGAAGGGCAAAGTCAAAGCACTAAGAATAGCCGAGCTCAAAGTTGAACCACTTCGGCACGAGCGACCAGTGTACTTGACGGCCGCAGAATTCTTCACACTGCCGAGCGTCAAGTTTATTGGACGTAATATAAACGCATGGCGTACGGACGTTGCATGCCGGCTGTGAGCGACGTTTCGAAGACAATAAGCATGTACCAAAGGGGTTAAGAACAATATTATGGAATCTGTTACTTATGATTGTTACCTTATTGCATGATGTAATGCAGTCTCCTATATAATCCAAATCATCCAATAAATTATCTGGTAAATCCATATCAGCTATACCTTCTTCTGAAATGCAGGTCAATTCCTGCTTGTTAGCTGGTAGCCCGTCTACTCCATTTTCGTATGGTATTCCTGCTATGAGATCGGCGCCTAGCACTAAATTTTGGATTTAAATAATAATAGCAATTATAAAAGTAATTTGAATAGATATCATAAAATATGTTGTTTTACATCTCATTTTTAGTCCATTGGTCACTACACCTTTGCAAGCGTTATATTAAGTTTTGTGTTTGAAAGTCAATTAGAATTTATAAGTAGCTCCAAATGAGCAAAATTTCGCATTAACAACATAGAATTACATCGAGATTAAACTAATTTAACTCACTAATTTTAGAAATGAAGTTTTAATTATTCTTTCAAAAGAGTAAGAAATTTGTGTGAGGATAATTTCAGCAATGTATGAAATATTTTAGGATAATCACTTTAGCAAGCATTTTTACAAAAGATAACTAATTCATACAATATAATATTTTAGCGATTAATATTTATATAAAAATCAATTCAAACATTTCTAAATTCAAATAGAGAAAATATTTCAATTCATAGAAAATTGAGTGTCGAATTGACTTGCTTTGCTGTAAATTCTGTTTACAGGAGTATGCTTCTTGTACGTTTTTCTTAGATATTGATTAATTTTTTCTGGTTTCAATATAATTTTAAATAAAAAAAACTTAAATGAATAGAAGAATGAAATAAACTTTAATGGTATCTTACTAATATTTGCGGCAGGTTCATTATCTGCTTCCTGACTGAACGAAAGTTTACGTCTTTGCGGACATGTTTCAGACATGCAAAGATGCTGGGTACCATTAGCTCTGAAAATACAATGCAATAAAATTATTAATATTTCCACATACCCATATGCAGATATAAATATAAATTAACCTTGTATGCTTATGTCTAGAGATTTTTCGTCTGTGTAAATCTATCAAGAATAAGGCTAAGCTACCAACTAAGACGCATGTAGAACTGAAATAGTATCCAGCTTTGACACCAACGCCTAAATTCATGTATCCTAAAAAAAACAATAATATTTTAATTCAAGCATACTTAGCACGACCTAATTTATATAAAAATAGATAAAAAATTGTACTAAAGTAAATTAATTTTACCGCATATGGGAACTCCGATTGCAATTGGAATGGCTTGCGAACATTGCACAAAACCCCATGTACGTGCAAAATTTCTCGCTCTAACTCTTTCATAAGTGTACATTTTTAGAGAGTAGTGATAGCCTCCACAGAAAATACCTGCAATTGAAATCATTGCGTTTTAGAAGCATGCAAATATATCAAATAACATAAAATACCAACTGCACAAGTCAAGAATTCTTTGGAACATTAAGATGGCAAAAGCAATAAAAAGGCAAACAAATAGACTAATAATGGTTTTCAAAGATATCAACTTAAGCTTATTTGTACTGCAGATCCTATTGCCACCATATAATAATCGATTCATTTCTTTCTACTAACTACTAACCATAGATCCAGGCAAACATCACATATCCATGATAGTTTCCATGCACAGCTGTCAGAGCAAGTATGCAAAGACCGCAAACAAATACTGCTGCTTGGCACAAATACTGTCTTGCTATTCGACATTCGACGCTATTGTGCAGAACTAGAATTCCAAAAGCTGCACAGCCAAGTGTCCAAGCCATTCCAAGATACGCTTGCAGAAAAACTGCCTTATCTCCTATACCTTCTTCTTCGGCTTGGTGGGCCAAGTAAAATATTGGTGTGTTGATCCCAAAAGCGCTTATGCCTATTAGAAAAATTACATAATAAATAAAAGTAAACACCATGTTCTGAACTAATTCAAATTCTGATAAGGTTGCTTATAGAAAACTAATCCAGTTCACCAAACACCAAACTTAATTGACACCAAAATAAATTGTGGAAATTCAAAACATGACCATGTTGCCAATCAATGTTGTTCAAAATGTTACATAATGGGCGAGTACACAGGATGGAAAGGGTAGGATTTAGGAGCTGACTCTGTGGTAAAATAGACCCATGTTACGTAGGGACTTTGTTACGTAGCACTTCTCATACAAAATTGTACTAATGGGGCAATTCTGCCGTAACAAAACTCATAACATAGCGTTGTCATGACAACGCTATTTTATGCTTGTTTCTTAGTAGGGAAAACTGTGAAAATGTCATTTGCTGTGTGATCATGCGTAATTTACATATACATAAGGAAAAAGGATTGTTATGATAACATCATCTTCAAGAGATTCTGTTAACATAACATTCTTCCTTGTTAGTTTATGTGTAAAATACGCTTGATTGCAGCACAGCAAATATACATTCTCACATTTATCATTACCAAGAAACGAGCATAACATTTCATTGACATTGCGTTGTCATAACAACGCTATGTTATGAACTCTATTATGGCAGAATTGCCGCATAAATATGCCAAAGTGACATGTGGTTGCTATGCATTCAAGCGTTTTAGATAGAAAATCTAACATAAAAAATACAAAAATGTCAAACGATCAATGTTAGCATAACTGCATCTTTGTGATATGACTTGATATCATAAGAGTGAAGTTGCTTCTTATGTGTAAAACGCCTGATCGCACAGCAAATACATGGGATTTTGTCAGTATTTAGTATCATTTTGTATGAGAAGCACTAATAAATAGTAACGTAGCCCCTGCGTAAAGTTGGTCGGTCTATTTTACTGCAGAATTGACTCCTCAATATTTGCATGGAAAAAGTTTTAAATGATTCAATTTCCTGCTTATTCCTTACCCGTAGATACCAGTAATATCCGTACAGTCTTGCTCCTAAGTGTGCTGAAATCGAAAAACGGCGGGCCATCGTTTGCTTTATTTTTGTCTTTGATTTTACGTTTTTGGTTCTTGAGATGAAGAATTGCTCGCCGTTGCGGATGATATAAGGAAGCTGATCGATAAAATGTTCCCAAGATAAACGTTATAAATACCACTACGGTCACAGCTTGCAATCCTAACCTCCAACCTATGGCACTAAGGGAATTAAATTCAAATGTTAAATGTAGTACATACAGTAAGTAATAAAAAATATTTGTTCATATTCACTTTCACTTTTGTGTTATATTGTAACAAAACTTATTTTGAACAAATTCAATTCAAATTAAAAACATTTTAGCGTTGTAAATATTGTCAATTATAAAAATTTAGAAATAATCCGGACAAACTAAACGTTTTGATGGATAATTTCTCGACTGATTCGTTCTCCCATATGTACAGGCATACAAAATTGATTTGTGACTAATATGAATTATCTAACTGTTGCAAGTCTAAGTCATTCATAAACATATTGCAGAAAAAGTTAATGTTTTTGCCAAAAAGTCTAATATGCTAATTTTGTGTTTTCTCGAGGGTTCAAGTCATTCTGAATCGCTTTGAAACCAAATTTCGAAAAAATATGTGTCTGTTGTTGATGATGAAATTTGGCCTTTCGTCGACGTTTTTTGAGAACGGCTGAACCGATTGCTAAAGTTCAAAAGCCATTCCATAAAATTAGATTAGGGTGATAAGTTAGTTGAATGAAAGCAGTTAGAAGAAAATAGCTGTTTCTATAGAATAAGCAGAAAAAAACAAAATGTTTCGTCCACGTTTTTGCAACTAATCCCGAATCTGCCTTTAAAAGTTTACAAACCGTCTGGAACACGTAATAGTGAAGTGCAATCAGTTAATTCTCATTCATTCTGATATTACTAAACAAAAATAATTTTACGATTATTTATCATATCCACTTATTAATAATCATTTTGAATGAAGTAGAGATATAAACGTAACATTTATGACGTCTTTTACCTTATGGCACCCTTAATAAATGCGGACATAATAGCAATTCCGAGTCCGCTGCCGGATACTATAAATATCTCGACGAATTCTCTGCGTCTTTTGAAATATTGGGCAACCATTAGTGTAGAACAATCTCTTGTTATGCCAACGCCAACGCCGACGACAGCCCCTTGAAAATGTAAAAGAATTAATTTGGAACAATTTACCAGTATTTAAATAACAGATGTGATAACTTTTACTTCAAAATAATTTGACAGTGATCTTCATAATTCAATAATTTGTAAATTTATCATAGCTTCAAAAAAAAATTATATCTATTGCCCATAAAATTGAGGGGCTGATTCTGCCGTAAAATAAACCAATGTTATGGAAAGGCTATACAACGTAACGCTTCACATACGAAATGATACTAAATACTCTGTAAATACTGTGCAGTCAGACGTTTTCAATATAAAACCTAACCTAGAAAACGCACAAAGGTCAGAAAAACAAGGTTATTAAAACTGCATATTTGTTATGTGGCATAATAATATATGAGTAAAGTTTCATTTTATGTGTAATACGTTTGATTGCACAGCAAATACATGACGTTTCAACAGTATTTAGTACCTTTCTGTATGAGATCGCGTCATGTGACATAGCCTTGCCATAACATTAATCTAGTTTACGCCAGAATCGACCCTTTAGTTTGTCATTTGTATTCTCATTATTGGAGTTGAAAGAATATCTCAAGTGACAAAAAATAGTTCTGATAGAATAATAGTCAAAAATATTTCTTGAATTATAGCACATTTTCCAAATCGGAAGTTTTTATATGCTAATATCAGGAAAATAACTATGAGAACAAGAAATCAAACTTCATTTAATATTTGTATTTGCGTCACATAGAATGTATGTACATATGTATTAAGTCTCTCCTTCGATAACTCAAGTTGTTGGGTTATAATTTAACCTACAAGGGTTAAATAATGACTCAAAATAAGGGCAATAAATAAAATTAGGGCCGTCGACTGTATTACACCGATTTGTTGATATAATTCATGTATTTGTTGCAGTTCTTGTTACAATCACTGATTTGTCACTAAGTTAAAATTAAAGAAGATATATTTATTGATTATTTATTTCAGATGCTGTTTCGCGGATTTTAGTTTTAGAAGTGAACAATTAGTACCATCAAACTTTCCTTTATCCATAGCCAATATAATAAAATGAAAATACGTCCGAACAACATTTCTAACATTTTTTTTAAATTCATGTCAATATCGCAAAAACATTGATGAAATAAATTACAACAAAATTAAATTGCTATTTTTGTTAAATAAGACAAAAATTGTTATTTTCGACGTTTTTTTATATTATAGTGATTGAATAACGATTTTCTTTGCGACGGTATTGGACATATAGTAAAACACCCGAAATGCATATAAAAGCTCGTGGTGCATGGCATTATGCATTAAATCATATTAGTATTAAATAAAAATTGATCAATGATTGATAACAATTGTTATAAATATTTTGAAATAGATTATTAGAAATAATATAAATTTTATCACTCATAATTTATATTGCGATGACTTCTAAAATCATTCAAATCAAACGTTCTGGGAGAATATAAAAGAATCATTTTCGATTTTTTTTGCTATTAGGGAGTAACTGAGTACGGTTGTGTCAGGGCACGGTAGTGACAGTCGTCATAATATCTGAACTATATTGATTTTGAGATAGGGTCTAAAGAAAAAAGATGAAGTATGATTGTTTCAACAACTTCGCACTATTGTTTTATTGCTTCTAGAGAGTCAAAAGTAAGTTTTTCCGTTCAATTTATTTTAATCATGATTGTTAATAATACAATTAACAATTATGCATAACTTTTTTTGTTATTTTGCTGTAAGTTGAACATTAGTAGTTATTTACCAGCAATCAGTTTTTGCTTAGATAATTTAGCGCTGTTATAATGATTTGTTTTGAAAAGCGTACATTGCGTACGGTTGTGACAAATTTTGGGGTGCGGTTGTGATTTGATTTCATGACGTATTAATCGTATTTATGGGCAGTATTACCATGTAGACGAATGTTCAAATTACCATTTGATTTCCTTTTCTCTCAGCTAACTGGTGAATTAACAAAATTATGGCTGATCAAAAAAGTGGCACAATCGTACCCAGGAACCCTCCTACTATAAATTATCCTACGGTAAGTTAATAAAGATACTCGGATCGAACCTGTAGAGTTAATGTAAGTTTTATGTAGACATTCTTCAAAATTGTACTTGTAATAGTAAAGAATAATATATAAAAACTGGTAATAACAATGTAGGAAAATCATTGAATTATTAAAAAATAATAGAATACGATGTATAAAGTTAGTACATGATAAAATTTCGGTATTATTATATCTACCCGATATGTAGCAAAATAGACATGTAAATACATATATGTTTTACTATACCATAACTGAAGAATAGTTGATGAAATTGTGAAGCAAACGAAGTGAAGAGGCATCCTAGTGCAGTGATTAAACCGCCCATGACCGCCGTCACTCTCGTAGATTTTCGTCTACAGAACGCTATTGTCACAGGCGATATAAGAAGAGCTACGCCCGTAGACATCGCACCCAGCCAGCCTAGGAATTAAAATTAAAAAGATAGGATTAGACAATTACACATAATTTCATTTTTTATGTAGTGTTGTTGAATATTTAATTAGTTGTGGAATTTAATGGTATACAAGAATAAACAAATGAAATTTTAAGTAGTGGTAAAAAATGTAATATGATTTTTATTTTTTTCATTTTTTATGGCCATTAAATTGCAAGTTTCTACATTACTTAACAAAATAACAATTTTTATATCAGCATCTGCATAGTTTCATTATGATATTGATTTATAAAAATATTTGTCGTTTCTACGATGATATTGTATATTTGTAACATATAAGTCATATGAAAACTAGTAAGCCTTAAGGCTATTTGCTGAAACTTCCCGTATAAAAAAATATTTTTGTAAAAACTTTAATAAATTTAGATTTTTGAGATTTTTGAAATAAATTGACCTTTTTTTAAAAAAAAAAATTATATTATTAAATGTTTTGAATATGTTGAACTTTTTCTTCAAAACAATCGCGCTAATACAGCTGCGTAGAGATTTAACATCAAAGCGCGTAAGCGCCGGGTCGCAGTATAACAAATAAATGTTACGAAACCCAAAGAAATGTGAATAAAATTTATACTTATTATTAAAATCTCTAGTAAATATCTGATAATCTGATGTGCTTATGCCTAATGAACATTTTAGCATTATTTAGCATTATTTTTTACTTAAAATATTCGTTTTCGATTATTTTGCGATTACTGTAACTTACCCTACGGGAATAAAATTAAAGTGTAGTTTGTTAGAATCAATTACGTGAACCAAGACAAAAATCAAAGTACACTAGGCATAAGTGGCATTTACTCTCAATGCCAGTTGCAAAAATACCTAATATATATAAATAATAAAATCAATCATTAAGATAGTGAGATTAAATTTTTTTTTAAATTGTCACGATCAAACAGGTAAAAGTTCAATTTGGCCCATTATTAAAAATTTTATTGAATTTTTATGATTCAAGTAATTTTCTTATGCTTATAATATTTTAACAAGTTCGTTGGGACCATTAACTTTTTAATCTATGTAAAGTTTTATAAAAATCGTCAAATAATCAACAATCAATTACAAAGAAATTTTTTTACTAAAAACTATTCACCACGATTCCCAACTCATGTTGAATGGTTTTTAATTTTTCAAAAAGAATAGATTGAACACAATTTTTGATTTTAACTTTATTATTTACTAGACATAAGTAACATTTTTTCCAAAGCCAATTGCAAAAAATACATATATATATATATATATATATATATATATATATATATATATATTAAAATTAATATAAATTGAGATTTAATTTTTTTTAAATTGTCACGATAAAACTTTAAAAGTTCAACACAGCTCATTATTATTTTTTTTTTAATTTTTATAATTCAACTAATTTTCGTATGTTTATAATATTTTAACAAGTTCCTTGAGACCTTGAATTATCATCTATGCTAAATTTCATCAAAATCACAAAAAATCAATTACAAAGAAAGAATTTTTAATCAAAACTGTTCAGCACAATTCCAAACTATAATTGAGAGTTTTTTAATTTTTCAAAAAGGATTCAGATTTTTTACCATAAATTTGAAAAAAAAATGCATTTTTCTACTGAATCTAAAGAAAAAGCTCGGTTGATCGTTTAGCAAAACTGATCAATGCAAGCCTTTATAAAACTTCATCGAATAACAGCTTGAAAATTTTTGCATCCGTTTTTTGAGAAATCGCCAACTAATTTTTTGAATTTTCTATCTTAAACGATTCAGAATAAGTCTTTATGTCGAAAAAACACAAAATAGGCGAATATGATTTTCTGCCAAATCTAAAAGATATTCTTTCGGAAAGTTAAGAAAGGCCAGATAATGAAGATAACAAATAATTCGATCATAAAGTAGTTCGAAGTGATATTTATGTAACTAATTTATGTATAAATCTTGTAATAAAGGTGGTAATTACATTCAATATATAAAAATATATTATTTTGAGTATTACTTGTTTTTTTTTAATTACGATATTTGTTACAACCGTTAAATAATTTAACATCAAGTAACAATAACATAAATTCAAATAAAAAAGAGTACAAAATAAAGAATAGTATTTACATTAAAATGATATCCGTTATATGATGATTTAATATAAGTATTAGTTGAATATACTTCATTGTGAAAAACTTTATAACGCATATTGAATTAAATTTTTGTATGCTAACTTTCAGAGGTTTTTAATTGAGAATCAAACATTGTGAGTTGTAGACTATACACTTCAAAATTGTACGTGTAATACAGAAGAATAAGGATTATAATTTTATTTTTCTCTAGTTACTAATTGTGATTAAGCGACAAGAACCCAAAATAGTATTTATCACTGTTTATTATGGCTTGCTTATGAATATAATGATATAATGTGTTGTTCATATCAATAAAATTACTCCATTAATTATTATAACAGCTTCCAACAGATGTGCTAATATAACAAAATGAAGTAACAAAATATGAATAAAAAGCATTTTATTATTTTACTTTATTAAATGCTTTTATCAACCATAATTCTTTGAAGAATTTTTAATGCCTTTTCCTAAAAACAACAGCTACTGAATTTTGAACGCAAGGATCGTAAGATATATACGAATGGAATTCGCATAAAAGGAAAAAGCTCTCTCCATACGCATTATTGCTTTTTATCTCTTTATATAACTCGGGGGAGTTTGTGCCGGACATAAAACTTAGAAAGAAACCATTAAATCTGAATGATCAACCGTAAAATATTTCTATCATTTCCTTATATCACCTCTTATCTTAGAAGAAGATTATTAATTTAGCCACTGCATGACTGACAATGTACATTTGCATACGCGTACACAGCAGGTTTGTATGAAATTACATTTCCTGTCATAACTCATAACAGGAGATATGTTTAATGGCAAAATGCTATACTCAGGTTCGAACTGGTTCTAATGATACATATTAATTTATTAATTCATTATAAATTTCTTGATGAACTAGTGGCGTATGGCATTTTGCTTTAAGATTATTTGATAATAAATTACAGTATCTGAATTTTACTTGAAAATCTTACTTAATCAAAAACCTCAAAAATTCATTCCTTTATTAGTTTCTTATAGTAACAATTTCAATGATTATTATTTTTCTGTAGATGGTAAAGAATTCTGAACTATATGAATGAGATAAATGCACTTATATAAGAAGTAATCTTTAAATATTAAAAATAGAAAACTTTAAAACAAAATCATTAAATATGTATTATTAAATATATAGAGTGGTCCATCTAGTGGTCCTAGTGATCTTACAGTTTAGATATTTCTGTAAATAAAATATATAAAGTATTATACATCGTTAGAAAGGTCTCAAAATTATTTATTTTTTCCATATGGTGTGGCCTAAAGGCAAGTTGTTATCGATAAATTCCAATTTTTAAATTGACCACCCTATATAAGAGAGACTGTGTACGGTTTTGCCAAATTACGGTAATGACAGTCGTCATAAGAGCTGAATCATACTGGTTTTAAGATAGGGTCCAAAGGTAAAAAGATGAAGTATGTTTGTTCGAACAAGTTTCCATTATTGCATAGAGTCATCGCTTTACATTAACATGATCTGTTATTAACACCGAACTGCTTTTTTGTCAGATTTTATTAAAATAATAAAATAGGTCACTTTATTATTTTGGTGCAAGTTGAATTATAATAGTTCGAATATTTTTTAAAAAAATTATATTTTGTTACTTATTGTTATATTATATTCCTAAACTTTGTTCCAATGATTATGTTGTGTTTTATTACATATTTCTGACATTAAAAGTTGCTATAAACCATTTTAGTATTTATAGTTCTTGTCTTAATAATTTATTTTAGTGCCTGCCCTAAGGAAGGGTGTGGACGGTTGTGACACTGGCCCTTTTTTGGCTGATTTGAATTTATGACGTATATGAGAACAGTATTTCAGAAATTACTCGGTGGCAAATGTTTCAAAAATCAATTTAATTTACTTTTCTCACAGCTAACTGGTAATTACCAGTTGATTGCCATTAAATAACTCGTAATTAATAGTAAATTAACACAATTATAGCTGAACAAATAGCACAAGTCTCTCCCTCCCATTTGTATTATTTGATTGAATGATTGAATACGATTAAATATGTTTGAATTTTCACTATCTATATATAATAAAAAAAATAAATTAAACAAGATGATGTTTTATTTTCAAAATCTTAAATAATCTATTTCCAGAAAATAATTTTGTAAAATTTGTGCAACAATCACGGTTTGATATTTGAAATATTTTTATTTTGTAGTTTATCCTTCATTAGATTAGAGCTATGGGATTTTATTCAGAAGTTCCAGGTCACACACCCGTTTTGGGCAACTTGGTTCAAACAGTAGTGACATCAGTTTTCAACTGAAAATATATAGCAATGTGATTCTAATTGTAAGTGAAAATTGTACAGAACTGGCATAAGGCCTTCAATAAAAAGTTATCAGGATTTTAGTTATTCGAATAATAAATTCACAAAAAATAGACCAACCGTTGGGTTGACATTTATAAAGCCACGTCATAAAGTCATCAAAACAAACATGAAGTACTAATCGCTGTTAATAATAATAAAAAAATATATGTTATAAAAAGTTGAAATTATAGATTGTTAGACTCTTCAAATACAAGTACAAAACATTTGAACATTCGAATTCGAATTTATAAACAAAAAATATTTATTAAATATAGTAAGTATGAAACTATTTGTCTTGGTCAAACGATGCTTATAATGTATTTTTATTTACAAACTCAAACCAGAAATTGTAAAATATATGCAAAAATTCGCATATAATTGCAAATTAGTTAAACCTAAAAATTCTAAATATGGTAAGTATCTCAAAATACAATAAAAAAATAAATATAGTAAACGGTTCAAATTAAAAAATGTATTCAACTTGTACAATTAGGTATAAATTATATTTTATGAAATGTATTTTGTG